AAAATCACTCAGGAGCCCTCAATTCTCTGAATTGTGTGCATTTTAGTAAAAAGGGATATAAAGTACTAGCTCTCTAGGTGATTGAAAATATCTATACATGCCCTAACCAGTTTTGCTCAGTGGTTAGAGCATCAGCCTTTGGACTGAAGGGTCCCAGGTTTGATTTCAGTCAAGGGCATGTACCATGGTTGTGGGCACATCCCAAGTAGGGGGTGTGCAGGAGGCAGCTGATCCATGTTTCTCTCTCATCGATGTTTCTAACTCTCTGTCCCTCTCCCTTCCTCTTTGAAAAAAAAAAAATCAATAATAAAATATTTTTTAAAAAAGAAAATATCTATACCTACAAGGTGGCTGCCATTTCCCACAGGTTCTTGATCTTCACTTTTTCTTTCTGTGGCTTCAGTGAAGTGCGTCGCTCTCCCAAGAGAAAATGTAATCCAGCCAAAGAAAAAGTCTGATTGTGGGGTTCATAATGTATGTGCTGTGCAGTGCAATCCGAGAGAGACGCACGACAGGACACTGTCCATGCTGACCTCATGCGTGTGCAAGACTCTTCCAAGAGAGGCAACACGTTCTCGGCGCTCAGAGAAGCCCGCCAGAGGAGGCTAGGAGTGGATGAGCTCGGGAAGGCAGAGATCTGGGGGGGGAATAAACATCATTGCTTTTTGGCATTTGTGGTCTTAAAAACTTGCCACTGAAGCACTCATTCAACAAGCACTCCCTGGATGAATGGAAGGTTGTTGCACAGCCTCCCTCCCTGCCCCCTGGGCAGGCTCAGAGCCCTGGCTTTGACGGGCTACAAAACCCAGGCGGCCATCTAGCAGTGTGGCTCTGGGCTCAGGCTGCCTGGGCTCAAGCCTGGCCCTTGCAGTTTCTAGTTGGTAGAGTTGACAGAGTAAGAGTTCCTACTCTAACTTTCAGTATACAGCAGATAGAAGCATGGACTAATTAGATAAATCCATCTGGACACAATTAGGTAATTCCAATATATATACATATATATATATATATATATATATATATATATATATGGCAATTTGTAAACAAGAGAGTTAAAATTAAACATTGCATAAAAAGGATAAGAAGGTGCCGAAACCAGTTTGGCTCAATGAATAGAGCATCGGCTTGGGGACTGAAGGGTCCCAGGTTCGATTCCGGTCAAGGGCATGTACCTTGGTTGCGGGCATATCCCCAGTAGGGGGTGTGCAAGAGGCAGCTGATTGATGACTCGCTCTCATCGGTGTTTCTAACTCTCTATCTCTCTCCCTTCCGCTCTGTAAAAAATCAATAAAATATATTAAAAAAAAAAAAAAGAATTTGGTATATTCTTAAAAAAAAAAAAAAAAAAAAGGATACGAAGGTAAAATGAAGCTGCCAGAGAATAAACAGAAAGAAAAGGATAAAAATAGAAAAAAGTAAGAGCTATAATTCAGGCTCCAATATCCTGTAGTAGAACTACAGAAATTAGGATAAAAGTGCAGACTGAGCCGAAACCATTTTGGCTCAGTGGATAGAGCGTCGGCCTGCAGACTGAAAGATCCCGGGTTCAATTCCGGTCAAGGGCATGTACCTTGGTTGCGGACACATCCCCAGTAGGGGGTGTGCAAGAGGCAGCTGATCAATGATTCTCTCTCATCAATGTTTCTAACTCTCTGTCCCTCTCTCTTCCTCTGTGAAAAATCAATAAAATATATTAAAAAAAAAAAAAAGTGCAGACTGAGCTATGGAGTGGAAGAAAACAGTATTTTCCATAAGGGGGAAAACATAGAATAAAAATAAAGAGAGGAACAAAACCATATTTATAAATAGCAACACTTGGAAATTAGAAGACAGTGGGGCAATACCTTCAAAATTCCAAGGGAAAAGTATTTCTAACCTAGAATCCCATACCCAGCTAAACTATCAATAAATTATGAGCAAAGAATCAACATTTTCAGACAGATAAGGTGTCATAAAGTTTACCTCCTATATAACTTTCTCTGGAAGCTATTAGATGATATGGTTGACCAAAATGAGCCTGTAAAACAAGAAAGAGGAAGAAGGTTTAAAATCCAGGCAGTAGGAGATCCAATACAGAACAGAGAGAAATCTTTTTTATAAAATAGCTTTTGTTTATTCTTCTTATTTTTTATTACTATTTTTTAATCCTCATCTGAGGATATTTTTCCATTTATTTATTTTTTTTTTTAGAGAGAGGGTAAGGGAAAGACAGAGAAATATTGATGTGAGAGAAACACATTGATTGGTTACCTCCAACGTGAGCCCAAACCAGGGCCCAGGCCCAGGAGGAACTTGCAACCTGAATCTAACATGGAACCCTTCAGTCTGCAGGCCAACACTCCAACCACTGAGCCAAACCGGCTAGGGTGATTTTTTAAAAATTATTTTTAAATTTCATTTTTTTTTTTTACCATTTATCCCCACTGTACCCTCTTCCACCTCCCCCCCACCTTCCCTCCTGTCCTCCCGAAGTCTTAAGAAGCCCAGGAAAGCAGCTATGCTTGTTTCTAGAACACAACCACCCTACATTACACCCAAAGGACAAAGTACTCCAAAAAAGAAAATTCCAGTGGACAAAACTGAATTGATATATTATCTGTTAGGTTTGACTATATAAATAAAAATATTGCATGGGGTTTACATATCTTTTGGAGACTTTGGGGGAAATTAATAAAGGGTATGTAGAAAACTTAATTAAAAATCAGGAGGCTTGGGGGGGCAATGGTAAGATATGTACATAGATAATAATTTAATAAAAAATAATTTTAAAAATCATGAGGCTATTATAAATTTGTATTATGATACTTGTGTTATATTATGATATGAAATTTCTACTCCTTAGATATTTTACAGACTTTTAAAAGTACACAAAGAGCCGAAACCGGTTTGGCTCAGCGGTAGAGCGTCGGTCTGTGGACTGAGGGGTTCCAAGTTCGATTCCGGTCAAGGGCATGTACCTTGGTTACGGGCATATCCCCGGTGAGGGGTGTGCAAGAGGCAGCTGGTTGATGTTTCTCTCTCATCGACGTTTCTAGCTCTCTCCCTTCCTCTCTGTAAAAAATCAATAAAATATATTTTTTTAAAAAAGAAAATCAATAAAAATATATTAAAAAATAATAATAAAAGTACACAAAGAAAAAGAAAAAAAAAAAAAAAGTACACATAGAGCCCTAACCAATTTGGCTCAGTGGATAGAGCATCGCATGTGAACTGAAAGGTCCCAGGTTCCATTCTGGTCAGGGACGACACATGCCCCAGTTATGGGCTTGATCCAGTGGGGGACTTGCAGGAGGCAGCCGATCCATTCTTCTCTCTCATTGTGGATGTTTCTCTCTCCCTCTTCCTTCCTTTCTGAAATCAATAAAAATATATATTTTTTAAAAAGCACACGAGAAAAGTGGGTTAAGTATTCCTTTCATCCTAACTATCCCTGATTGTTGTCCTATCCAAGAGATAGGATGTAAGAGCCTAAATTCTGACATTGATGTCTTGACAGTGGGCACTCAGGTGAGGGTAGACAGTGGGTGGCATGTGGAAGACATTTTTAAAAAGTCCCAAACCAGCATAGCTCAGTGGTTGAGTCTTGACCTATGAATCAGGAAGTCATGGTTTGATTCCCAGTTACAGTGCAGATTTGATTTCCATTGTGGGGTGTGCAGGAGGCAACCAATCAATAGTCATTTCTCATCATTGTCGTGTCTATCTTCCTTTCCCTCTCCCTTCCTCTCTGATATCAATTAAAATATATATGTATTTTTAAAAAGTCCCAAAGGACACAAACATAAGGGGAAAAGTCCATGTGATTATGTGAATAATTAAAAGTCAAAGATGAACAATACAAATAGTTGAGACAACTTCAAATCAATATGAGCAATTCAGATTTGCTGTGGAGGTGAGGGAAACCTGTGGAAATGGCGGTCATGGTGAAGCGATTAAAATAGTGGAGCCCAGCAATTATTCAAAACTGGGTTTATAACAGCAACAACTTGGAAATTACAGGATAGTGGGGAATAATTAGAGGGAAGACCAATGAGGATGGGCTTGGTCCAGATATACCGGCCCTGTGAGAGGCCTGTTCCATTAGCTTATTAAATAGGCTACATGGGAAAGGAGGGTACAGAAATAGTGAATGAAATGACTTTAAAACCCAACACACGTAATCACTATTATGAATTTGACTTCTTACTTTTTTTCATTTGTTTATTTTCTTATCTCTTTCTTTTCTTGCTTTTGTCTCTGTAGAGACCCTCGTCCATCTTTTAGGATCCTCATTCACATGTTTTCTCTGCTTGCTCTGACAAACTTCATTATTTATCCTGTATCTTTCTCCACAGCCTTCATTATTTATCCTTTATCGTGCTGCAATTTTCCATTTTCCTCACTGCATTCTTCCTATGCAAACCAAATCCTATAGCCCACCCCAAATCCATTTCTCAAATATTTCTCTACAAGCTCCTTGGTTACAGCTCTTCTCCGAGAAACGATCATCCAATGTTTCTTGACACATTATCAAATATTTTCTTTCTCCTCAAAATGTTTCCATCTCCTTCAGCACTCTTCCTGTTTCCTTTGGTCTTGGTCTCTGCTTCACCTCGGTAGCTCTTCACTCCCACCGTCTCAGGTTTTGATGCTTCCTTTCCTCTCTCAGATTTACTCTTTTGGGGTCAGTGATGTTCTGCTGGGCTCCGATTCCTCCTCCTTGACTTGCAATGCTTTCTCTGCTTCTCTTTCCCTCTTTGGCTTCAACCCTTCATCTGTCTCGTTCGCCTGGAGCTTCATCCCTAGCCTCTTTCTTTTCCATAGAAACAGATGCGTCTGTGCCACCGTTACTCCACCGAGACATCCTCCTCAACTTCCGCCCCTTCCTCAGTCTCCCAGTTCATCTTTCCTTCCCGCCCTTTCCAAAGGAGTTTCTATCTCAGGGTCCGGAACTCTCTCACTACCTCATTTGCAATTTTATCTTCACTGACGCTCTCCATTCTCAAAATCTTCAAGTCCTCTCAGCTAGACCACTGCTTCTCTCTGAATCGCTGCTTCTCTTCATTCAACTTCACCTTCCCTCCGCTTATGCTCAGCTCCTCGTTCTGCCCGGGTCTGTATCCTCTGGACCTCACGTCCTCCCTGTTGAGCCCCGCCCTAGGAGGCCGGGGCGCCTCTTTCGGCCCCGTCTGCCTCCTCGTCCCCGCACTCCCAACTTCGGCCTTCGTCCTGCGGCGGGCTTCCTCCGGCTTCTCCCACACCTCCCTGGGGATCCCTTTCGTCAGGCCGACCGAGGACCCTAACACGCTGACGAGCTGATGCAGGAGCCGCACGTTCCTCTCCTGGCTCAGGCCCGGCCTGGTTTTCCAGACCGTTTCCTCAAACGTCCGCTTTTGCCTTTTTCTACCCAGCAGCTCCATTTTCTTCCCAATCACGGCGAGCGCGCCAAAGGGGATCCACATTTTTTCTCGCACCGGGGACGCTCTGCGCTCCAGCTCCGGGTAGAAGCACTCGCGGACCCGGGCCGGGCCTTGGACGCGGGCCCTGCCGCGCCGCTTGGCCTCCCGGGGCGGCTGGGCCCGCCGCTCCCTCGGGTCCCAGAGCCGCAGGCCAAACGGCAGCCCCTTCTCCACAAACATCAGTCCTCGGCCTCGTCCGCAGCCCACAGCGCCCTCCCCAGCTCCCCATTACCTCCCCCACCCCTACCCTCACCCCCACCCCCACCCCCTCCTCCCCCCTCCCCACCCCGCCGCCCGCCCGCCGCCCGCCCACCGACTGGGTGGGGGGCGCGATGGGCTAGTGCGCACGCGCAGACCACGCGAGACCCTCGCAAGGCGCGTCCCAAACGGCGGGCTGGGGGCGGGGCTTCCGGCTGGGGCGGGGCTTCCTGCTGGGGGCGGGGCGGCGGCTGGGGGCTTGGCTGCCGTGGCGCGAGGCCTCAGCGTCCCGCGCCCCGGCGCCCCGGCTGGCGCTGGTTCCGGGCCCTCTCTGTTCCGCGATCCCCCTGAAAAGCTGAGGCCTGGACACAGGAAACGACAGGCGTTGCAGCCAATGGCGTCGCGCACGATAAACCTGCTACCCAATCAAAGACAAGACTGTGGGGCGGGGGCGGGAGGAATGGGTGGGAACCACGCCCGACTCCAGGTGACTCTTCCTGGGCGGCGAGGGAAGGGCGTCTCCATCAGCTAGCGGGGTCTCTCTCCGCTTGGCCCGTTCCTAGGGGCGAGCAGCCCGGGCCCAGGCTGCGGAGCGCGCGGGCAGCGGCCAGCCGCGGGGTCGTTGTGTGGGGCAGCGGAGGAGAGTGATGGAGGAGCACCAAGAGGCGGGGAGGTGTAGCTCAGCGGGTGAGCGTCGACCCAGGGACCATGGAGGCGCTGGTTTGATTCCCAGTTATTGCGGGCTCAGTAGGGAATGTGCAGGAGGCAACAGATGCTTCTATCTCTATCCCTTTCCATTCCTTGTTCTAAAAAAAAATTAAAATAAAGATAAATTTAAAAAAAAAATCAATAAAAAGAGGCTGGGAAGGAGAGCAAGGCAAAGAAAGAATGCAAACCTCACTCCACGATACCCAGTCAGGGTCAGGGAGGTGTGTGTGCGCGCATACATGAGCAAGAGGTTAGGACGCCTCTGGCCCCTGCAAGGGGACCGGTGAGGATGCCAAAGGAAGCAGGGTTTACTTTGTCCTTACAGATGGAAAGGGACCTGTCATCGTCCCTCACACTCCTTATTTCCCCAGGACAGACTCATGCTGGTTTGGTGAAGAGGAGAGAGGGATATTAGGGATGGAAAAGGAGCTAGAGTACCCTTCCCTCTCTCCCCCCCCCCCCATGGTGGGGGGGAAATCCTGTTCAACGCTCACAGCTTCACTTTTGTATCCCTGTTCATATAATCATAAGATCATTGCATCTTTCTTTCCTCTTCACTTCATTCAACAAAAAGCGGTTGAGCATCTACACTTGTTGAGGTGCACACTTTTGAAGGTTGGAGGCACGTACATAGTGAGCTGTGGCTGAGGGATAAGGATGGAGAGCTGTGGTGCACGGGAAACCGCTCCACCCAACCTAGCCACACTGGCGAGGGCAGCACAGTCTTTTACAAAAAAGTGTTAAAATAACTGTTTGTTTATATGTTAGAAATCAATCAAAACCTAAATTACATAGAAAATGAATTGAAAACAAATCATAGGCGTAAATATAAAAGCTAAAATTATTAATTTCTAGAAGAAAAAATAGAATATCTACATGACCTTGCAGTAAGCAAAAGTTTCTTCAAGAGTACACAAAAATCCTAAATCATAAAAGGAAAATCTGACATATTGAGCCTGTAAATTATAAGTCATTAAAAGAGTAAAAAGGCAACCCATTGAGTAGGAAATAATGGAAACAAATATACCCGACAAAGGGCTTGTCTTTAGTACTATAAAGAGTTCCTACAAATCAAAAAGAATAGCATTTTAAAAAGTTCCTACAAATCAATAAGAATAGCATTTTAAAAAGTAGCAAAAGATTCGAATAGGCACTTTACCAAAGGAAGATATCCAGCCGAAACCAGTTTGGCTCAGTGGTAGAGCGTCGGCCTGCGGAGTGAAAGGTCCCAGGTTCGATTCTGGTCAAGGGCATGTACATTGGTTGTGGGCACATCCCCGGTAGGGGGTGTGCAGGAGGCAGCTGGTCGATGTTTCTCTCTCATCAACGTTTCTAGCTCTCTATTTCTCTCCCTTCCTCTCTGTAAAAAATCAATAAAATATATTTTTTTTTTAAAAAAGAAGATATCAAAATGGCGTTCAAGGTCATTCCTCTCCAGGGATAATAGTGTGCTATTATCTTATCCCAGTTTGGCTAAAATAAAAGGGACTAACAGTTCTCTGTGTATTGGCAAGGATGTGGTGCAACTAGAACTTCCATACAATGCTGGCAGAAGTATAAATTAGTACAGTTATGTTGGGAAATTATCTATGAAAGCCATTTTACACATGGCCAAGCAATTCTCATACCCAAAGAAATTAGTACTTAGGTCCCTCAAAAGACATACAAGAATGTTCATGGTAGCTTTATTCATAATAACCACAAACTTGAGCAAATGTAGAATGGAAATATTCATATAATGGAATACTACATAGCAATGAAAAAGAGCCACTGCACTCAACATGTGTGTGTGTCACAAAGAACATGAACACAAAGAAGGATATACCGGACAATTGCATGTTTATGAAGTTCAAGATCTATGGTGACAGAAGTCAGAATAGTGGTCCCCAGAGTGCCAAAGCCCGAGACAGTGGTGATGCTGGAAGTGTTTGCAGCGCCTGGAGGCCCACCCCGCCCTGCAGCAAAACCACTTCTTTGACTTTGGGAATACAGCCAGGACACGAGCTGGGCTAGAGCACAGGGGTCAGCCCTAGGGGTGGGAGACAGGGCTCCAGGCAGGCTCAAGCTGCTCATCAGCTCTGCCAGTGGCATGTGCCTGGGGTGGAAGGTGCACATACCCACCCCAACATCATACCCTCCCCACTGGTGGGAGGAAAGCCACTATGGGGCCTGGCCTAGAGGGAGACTGTGCCACCCCTGGTTGTCTGTGTGGTGCCATGCTCTTGGTCACAGTGGCTTTCCTCTTACTCCCTTTGGTGGATCACTTCTTTGACCAAGAGGACCTTCCTGCTGGAGTACCACACCCACATCCAGGATGCCTGCCTGTGAGAAGACTGAGTCATGCACCCCCACAAGTGTACACGGGGCCCAAGGGGCCCTGGATTCCCTGCCCCCCCTTCCTGGTGGTTTTGTTCCCCAGGAGAGAAGAGAGCGGGAATGCCCTGTGTCTCTGTCCATGGCCACACACACCAGAGGTGAGGCTTGACATGCAGACCCATGGGTTCTGATGGAGGCCTGGCAGACAATTCTGTCCCTGTCTCAGCTTCACTAAGTTGTCTGGGGACACAGGAAGTCAACCATCTGAAAAGGTGAGAAATGCCCAGCAGGCGGGGGTGGCTCAGTGGTTGAGTTTTGACCTATGAACCGGGAGGTCACAGTTCAATTTCCCCTCAGGGCACAGGCCCTGGTTGTGGGATTGACCCCAAGTAGGGGGCATGCAAGAGGAAGCCGATGATTCCCTCATTGATGTTTCTATCCCTTCCTCTCTGAAATCAACAAAAATCTATTTAAATTAACAACGTGAGGATTCCCTCTTGCCCTCCTGCTGCCCTTTCTCTGCAGGTTCCTCTGTGGAAGCCGCTGTGTATCTGCTGGAGGGGGGGGATTGCAGTGCTTCCTGGGATTTGGGAAACAGGAGAGGGAGTTTCCCCAAGGGTGGGCCAGGACAGGGAAGCTTTAAGCATCCACGTAAGGCCCTGCCCTAAGTCCTCCCCACTGCCTTTTAGGAGCTGCCTCACATTGGCAGAGTTCTTTGGAAGACTGAGTCCTGCCTCCTGCACCGGAAGGCCACACAAAGATCCCCTGCAGGGAAGAATCCTGGGAAAGGGGAAAGTCCAGATCATTCTGGAATCTTCATGACTTTTTAAAAATATATTTTATTGATTTTCTTACAGAAAGGAAGGGAGAGAGTTAGAGAGCTAGAAACGTCGATGAGAGAGAAACATCGACCAGCTGCCTCCTGCACACCCCCTATCTATGTACATGCCCTTGACCAGAATCAAACCTGGTACCCTTCAGTCCGCAGATCGACGCTCTACCACTGAGCCAAACCGGTTTTGGCTCTTCATGAGTCTTCATGACTTCTTGACTTATCCTCCTGACTAGTTTAAAAAAGAGGTGAGTGGAGACAGGGGATCCAGCCTCGTGTGTGTGTGTGTGTGTGTGTGTTTGTGTGTGTGTGTGTGTGTGGTGATGAAGGAGGAGCACCGGGCCTGGCAGACTGCACTGTGCTGCCAACCTCCTGCCCCAGATCTACTCTTTCTGCTCTTCTCCGAGTCACGGGAGTGTGCCAGTCTTTCTACAATGAGTTGGACCACATCTCTTCCCATTTTCCAGACCCTTCAGTGACCCTGTCCCTTCCAGGAACTGCCCAAGACATAAAGCAAAATGGCCACTGCCATCCAAGGGTTCCCCCTCAGCTTCTGGCTACCCAAGCACATACCAGATTTGCACACCAGCAAATCCTTTGGCTGTCTCATTCCTCTCAACCCCCACAGTCCAGATCAGGTCCCACCTTGTGTGTGAAGCCTTCCCCTGAACATCAGGGTTTCACCTAATAGTTATCAAGTGATGATGGGTATTTATATGAATAGTCCCCAACCCTCAGCAAGCTCCCTCCTCAGCCACCTTCCTGATTCACAAGATGGAGGGCCAAGAGGCCTCAGGCAAGAACCTAAAGCTGTCAGACATGGTGAGACACATGGGAGACTCACAGGCAGCCAAGGTGAGATGCCCCAGAGCAGACCTCGGGGCTAGAGGCCAGTGGGACTAGAGCAGCCAAGGAGGGAAGGTCAGTGAGCTAGTGATCCTGTGTGCCTGCTGGCCCCAGGACCTGCTGTACCAGTGGCTGGGGTCCTGGCCAATTATGAGAATGCCAAGGCCCGCACCAGGAACCAGGGACGGGGACTGAAAGCCATCATTCCTCTTCTCGCCCCTTCCCAGACTCATGGACTTCGAGTCCCATGTGTCTCCTCTTGCCATAAAGTTGGAGGGCTGGACCTCAAGCAGCCAAGGTGAGCCCTCCAGCCTCGCTGAGCCTTCTTGCTACTTCAGCTCCCAACCCCCTAGGTTCTTGTCCAGGTGTCTGAGAGCAGCCTTGAGCAGTCAGTCCCAGCTGTGGTTCAGGGCCGTGTTTTCCAATCTTGAGCCAGGATCCTGCCCTTAAAGCCTCAGTAAATGGTAACTGTTACTGTTGAGGACAGGGATTGGGGGGAATGGAAGTTATCTGAGGTACATTAAGAGCAATACCCTGTCTCAGAGCGCCTGGTGGCACAGGCCAGGGACATCCCCAGGACCTTGCTCCTCTGCAGGGTCACCCTGTTCTCTGGAACACTTGTCACCCTCAGGGGAAGCCTTAGAGCAGCCAGATCCTTATCTGATCTGAGACATTTAATGCAAATCTCCCAGACCTCCCATCCCAGCAAGATGCCTCCTTCCCCACCCACAGCAGCCACTGGCCAATGCCCAAAACCCCCAGGGCAGACAAGCCCATGCCCCACCCATGCCAGGTGCTAGGTCCTGCCAATAGGGGAGCATGGATACCATACTTGTCCACAAGCAAGCAGAGCAGCCTGTTCAGAGGCTGGTTTTGTAACAAAGAGGCCTGCTTTCCCTTCCCAGTTTCAGGGACCACCAGGCACATCCTCTATCAGGGCACTGTGGAGACCAGATCCTGGGGGAACACAGGGAGCACCCCACAGCAAGCATCCTCAGCCATTTTCCAGAGCACCAACAATTCCATGGGAAGGTGCAAGACCCAGTACTTAGAATCCAGGGCCAGTCAAGGAATGGACCACGTATGACAAATCCTCCATACCCATTTCTAAGTAGTAAAATGGAACTACCCCTTCTTGCCTCCCTCAGATATAAGAAAGTTCCAAGGAATCAGGCCCAACTCTAGGCTCTTTCAGATTGGAATGGAGGAGGGTATAAATCTCACATTACCACTCTTAGGTCTTCCGATACCTTTACCTGCTGGGCAGGGTAAAGCCTAAAGTACAGGCTGGAGAGGCGGAGCACTGCTGGCAAAAGGACTCAAACACTAGCCAACACCTCCCTTGATTAAACACGGAAGGAGCCCAAGACACCTGGGTCAGAAGTTCTGGGCTCCATCTGGTTAGCCCCACCCTGGCCTCCAGCAGGCCAAAGGCTCAACCTGGCTTCTGACTCATAGCAGCCACTGGACCCAGCCCTCATAAAGTCAGCCATCCAGGGAAGGCAGCGAAAACAGCAAAAATAATCCTGAAGGAGAAAGTAGCTCATAGGGTAATCTGTGACTTGCCATCTCACAGTCTGGGAAGGACTGAGCACAGGATTGAGGAGCCTCACTGCCCCGTCACCCTCCAGGGTCAAGGCTACAGAAGAAAGCGGTTCAGACATAAGCACCTTCTGCTGGAGGGCCCCCTGCAGATATATCCTGGCTCAGGTGCCTCCTAAATAGCCAGTCTGGTACCAGCGGTGTCACCACCTGTAGTGTGAGTGGAAATTGTCAGGAGAGAGACTTGGCCAGTTACGGAGGCCAGATGAGGGTGTGGGGCTGGTTGGAGGTAAAGTTTATTTTTATTTTTGTATATTTTGTGTGTTTTTTTTACAGAGAAGGGAGAGGGATAGTTAGAAACATCGGTGAGAAATATCCATCATCAGCTGCCCTGCACACTCCCTACTGGTACATGCCCTTGACCAAAATCGAGCGTGGGACCCTTCAGTTTGCAGGCTGATGCTTTATCCACTGAGCCAAACCAGTCAGGGTGATGTTTAAAACATTTTGTTAATCCTCACCAAGGATGTTTCCCATTGATGTCTAGAGTGGAAGGAAGGGGAAAGGTCTAGGCAAACACTGATGCAAGAGACAGAGATTGGTTGCCTCCCACATGCACCCCAACCAGGGCAAGGAACTAAGCCTGCAACCACGGTACGTGCCATGTCCAGAATCAATCCCCAAACCCTTCAGTCTGAGCCAAACCTGCCAGGGCAGAGGTAGAGAGAGAAGATTCTGCTCATTCTCCTAGCCAATAGCCCCCACAAGATCCCCTGGACCCCAATCCGGAAACAAACATCCTTTAATCAAGTGAGGCTTTTTATTGTTGTTTTTCTTTTCTTTTTTTTTAATTAAGGGTCCCTTATGGTCCTGCTTCCATGAGTGGCCAAGACCACGTGGAAAGGGGGAGGGGAACCAGGCAGCATGGGGAAGGGTTATGTTCACAACATTCCATTTATACACAGAACTACACAGACAAGCACAGAGTCACTATTGCGGTTAGAAGTTGGCAGCATGGGAAAGGGGGGGAGGAACAGGTTGCAAGTAGGGGTGTCGTTAAAAAAAATACAGGCCCTCTCCAAAACTGGGGTGCCTGGGGTGGGGAGGACTTGGTCTGTTTCAACCCAAGAGGAATCAGAAGATGAAAAGCTGTTTGGGAAGGCCAGAACCGTCAGGGGTGGAAGGAGAAGGAAGGTCCAGGGGGTGGGGGGCTGTTTGGCAACTGGGTGAAGGGATTGCCCTCCCCCTGCTGGGATCCCTCCAGCCCCTCCGGTCTGGCAGAAGGGGGGCAGCCTGCAACCCCCCACAGGCAGGTGTGGGGCTGCCAGATGCTCCAGGCAGGGGCTGGAGAGGGCTCACAAAGGCTTGCCCTCCAGGGAGATGACAGCACTGCCCCCCAGCTTCTCCGCCAGAGTGCAGCGGTCCTTCACCTCCTCGTAGCAGTTTGCTTGTAGTTCATGCTTGATCCCTGCGGGGAAGAAGGAAGGAGCCGATCAGAACAGAGGGAAAGGACAAGGTTACCTTCCAAACAGGCAGGAAAGAGGGGCCAGAGCCGCCTCTGCTATGCCCAGGCACCCACCCTGCAACCAGGATGAGCGGAAGTGCATGTGGCCCTCACCTGTAAGCTTCTTCTTGATGGCGTCCTTGGAGCTAGCGTAGATCATTTTGCTCTTAAGAGGGGCAGACTCAGGGGCCCTGGAGGGAAATAAAAACTTGTAGCAAAGCCCCCTCGGAGTCTAGGAAGAGTCCTCAAGCTCTAGGTGACTTCCAGAAAATACTTGGGCTTGCCCCTAGCATTCAAGCTTTTACCAAGTTCCTCAGCCACAAGTGTTCTCCCTCCCCCAAGACGCACACCTCTGGTTAATCAGGGGCCACAGATTCCAATCCCGAAAAAGAAGGCAGAGCTAGGACAGGGGACAGAGTTGCCTGCACTGAGGAGCTCACCAGAAGATAAACACCAGGTCCTCCTTCTTGCTCTCCTTGGTCTCATAGGTCGCATCATACAGAGCGTAGCGGCAGTCTTTGTCCGGCAGCATCTTGACGAAGGTGGCGTAGGGGTCATCCACTGTCTGGCCCACATCACCGACCAGGATCTCCTTGCCCTCTTCCAGGATGATGTTCTTCTTGTCTTCGCTCAGGCAGAAGAGCACCGCCTTCTTGCGCTTCTTCACCTCCTCTGGTGTGGAGGACTTACGTACCTTCATGTCGTTGAACACTTTGATGACTCCATCAGAGACAGCCACACCAGAGGCCTGGGGTGGGGGGAAACAAGCAACACACATCTCTTAAGGGATCCCCCCTGAAGTCCCTCCTTTGCTTCCTTAGGACTTCCGCCTAGATGCCAGGATAGTCCTCAGCACCAAGTCATTAACCCCCTTCCCAAAACAAGTGACCCTTTCCCACGCAAGCCGCTATCAAAGAGCCAGATGGGACACAACTCTAGGATGGCAGCCATGAAAGAGACGTCCGATCACCTGATTCAGCAGCACTCCTCCCCCCCTGACACCTTACGGGCTAACCCTTACAGACCTGTGGGAGGCAGAGCCCTGGCTGAGACATTAGCACAGAATTAAGACTCCACAGCTGACTCCACAGTTTCCTACTCAATCTCAGCTTTTGGATAAAAGTGCTGATTCAGATGGACAGAGGGGACACAGACACTCCACAATGCTAAATGGGACACCAAATGTGCTCAGCAGTTCTGCAGAGTTCACCAGAACTGCTCACTACAGTTATTGTGCAAGTTACCCTCTCCTCTGCTGGGGTCTTCCTCAACCAGAGCAAAAATTACAACCCCTCATTCCGGCCCTACCGGCAACTCCCTGCCCTCTGGGAAGAAATTCAGGCTCAAAGGTCGGTGATCAAAGTAAACAGGCCAAGCTAAGCGCCCCCAAACGTCAAAGCCCTCCAAACTCCTAAGAGGGGTCGCGGTGGGGGGCACCCGGAAAGGGCTGTCCGCGGAGACCTCGGCCTCGCCCCCCTCCCGGAACTGCAGAGGAAGTGGGCCACGTGACCCGGCCGCTTCCGGAGTAGGCGGAGAAAAGACATCAGCCAGGCTCGGCCTCCATCGAGAAACCCCAAACCCAAAGGCAGCAGCACTTACAGGGTCTCCGCCCCAAAGACTCGCCCTTGCCGACCGGCATTTCAGCCCCGTAGGCAAGTTACAAGACCTTCTGTTCCCGCAGCCTGGGGCCGAGCACGGGGGGCGGGAGGTTTCCGGGCGGTGCCCGCCTGGGTCACTTCCCTAAACCAGGCTCCACCCTCCGGGCCCATCCGGGAAAGCTGACGGCCCCGCTCGTCCAGGGTTCTGGGCCGAGCGGCCAGCCCGCAGCGTGTGCGCACGCGCCAACCGCCAGCGCCGCTCCAGCCTCGGCGGGTGGATCCGGCGGCGGCCCCGGCTGCTCGCCCCGAAGCAGGGCCGCGGCCTGTGCGGGGTGCGCTCCGGGGAGCTCGGGCCAGCAATCCCCTCCTCGCCGGCGCCCGCCCGCGCCCGGCGCCCGCGGCCCCAGCCCCTCCTGGGCGTAGGCATCCCACCACCTGCTCCCGGGCAGACCCGCCGGCCTCGGGAGGGTGACGCGGAGACAGGAACAGCCCTAGGGTGGGGCGCGCGCGCCAAGACCGCTCGCGCGCTTTTCCTCCGCCGCCCCCGGGGGGGGTTTGGGCGCCGCGTGCTCCCGTCGAGCGCGCGTCCCCGTGAGCCGACTCCCTTGGGCCCCGCCGCGGCGCGCGACACAGGCTGCTCCACGAGGGGCGGGCGCGCCCGCGCGCCCGGACCCCTCCCCCACGGCCGGTGCCCGCGCGGGCGCGCAGCGGGGTGGGGGAGGGGAAGGGAGCCCAGGGGGCGCGCGAGCGGCGCTGAAGGCGGCCCTCCCCTGCGCCCACGGGCGCGCACGCGCACCCCAACGCCGCCGCCCCTCAGCGAGACCCTCATCCCGCTGGAGGAGTTGGGGGAGGGGGTGCCGATGTCGGCGCCCCTCACTCTTCCCCCCCCGTTACCTCCCGCGCGCGCAGACGACCGATCGCAGCCGCCTCCCCTTAAGCATCTTAGCCTGGCGCTCACCATGTTTCCGGAAACTAAAGGAGATAGCAAGTAGAGCCTGGAAGGACGAGAGCCGCTGCAGCTGCTGCCGGGATCAGACTGAACGCGGCCTCTCCCGGCCCCTTCCGTTTAGTATGAACCGCACAATGAGGGGCGGGGCTGGCTTCCGGCGCTCCCTCTGCGGGCCGACGGGAAATGCAGTCCTAGGGTCCCGCGCCGTCCTCTGGCTCGCTGGGTAGCAGTCTTTTTCGTCTGCCGACCGCGTTGCATCCTGGGAAATGTAGTCCGACGGAGGCGGGGCTATGGCACGGAGCTCACGCCTATTGGTCGAGTTTACCAGGAAACAGTATGAACGGAGAAAGATGTCGGCGCTTAATAGACCTGAAAAAGAGCCCAGACTTCCTGACTTTTGCGAAACGGTTTTTCTTAAGAACTATGTTGGCACTTTTAGGGTCCCTTGGTCCGAAAACTTTGAGTGAGTTAGCATTTTCTTTTCTGAATTGAAGCAACTATTCATTGGCCTGGAACCCAGCCCTCGAGCAAGGAATGTCGCAAGTATAAGGCGCCTTCAATCTAATAAACATTCATCGGGCATCTACAGATGGTGCAAAGACAGTCTTGTCTCCTGAGAAGACACCGTATACAACTTAAACAAAATAAGAGGGAAGAATAAGGGAAAGGCTACAAGGAAAATGTCATAAATAGCTTTGTTCTTTTAAATGTGTGGCAAGTTCACGAGGCAATAAAGGGAGAAGGGCGGGGGTTTGTGCATTAAATTCAAGGATTATGCGCCTTTTGCTAGACAGCCAAAAGTGGAAATAGATATTAATAAATCTTGTTTTCGAGTTAATAACCAGGAATTTGATTAAACCTCCAAAACTTGAGACAAGCTCTGCAGGAACATAAGCGTCACAAAAAAGGAAAGATTTTGTTGGCCTCGAACCATGTCCCCGGCCTCAGTGTGCAGGCAGAGAAAACAGGGTCGCGAACAGGCGAACCAGGACTACTGAACTCGCAAGTGGAAGCCGGGTTTTCATTATCTGGGGATCAGTGCCCCGAGTGGGGTTTCTCGCAGAGCATGCCGGGGGTTGTAGTCGGGGACTTTGAGCCGCACCGCCCACTACCCGTCGGTGAAGGCCACAGCTCGACCCCAGACTCTCGCTAGCGACCCAGCCTGAAGAAGCTGGCTCCACCTTCCTTAAGCCTTGGGAGTTTCCAAGAGCAACGGGGAGGGGAAGGGCGATATCGCAGTTACCCAGGAGACGCTCCCGCCCGCCCCCGCCGCGGGATGCCCTAGATGTCCTTATTAGGACAAGAGCCTGGAGGGGGCGGGACCAGCCCTAACGCTGGCTGGAGGCTCCTTATAAGGCAGCGTCGGGAGGGAGGCGGGAATTCTGAGTGGGCTGGAGGAGTAGGGTCGCGGCTGGGCGGAGTCTGACGGGAGGCCGACCGGAGCCAGTATCTCGTGACTTCCGGTGCTGCTGCTGGGGGCTGCTCCAACTCCCCGGCCCGGACCCTGGTGCTCTCCCGCTCGTGAATTTGCTAAACACTTAAAACAAGAACATGGGGCCCCTTTGTGTAGATGCCACCTTAAACCCCACTGAGGGTCCAATGAACCGCTACAACGTCACAGTGTTTCCTCCCACCCACGTCTTGCTTCGTACCTGCTCCTCCAAATCCCAACCACCTGCTGGTCCCGGCCACCACCCCCGCCCCTGCCAGGATGCCCAGCACCCCTCACTCGTTCCCCTTCTGCTTGCCCCTCGCTCTGTCCCCCTCCCGCCGTCCTCTGGCCTCCCCTGCACGTCCTCGACGTCGCACCCCTCCCCCACGGCCCTGGGGCGTTTCCTCGGCCCCCGGCTCGGGACCACCCTTCCCTCAGAGGGTCCTTCAGCTCCTCCTGCCTTGCTTGTGTGTCCTGTGCCCTGTACACCTTCCTAGACATCCCTATTGGAAACGTGCCTGCACCTGTTTGCCCCCCACCCTCCACCCCCCACCTGCCCTGCCTTCCCGAGCCCGGTTTCTTTCCCCAGCCTCCTCGCTGCGGAGAGGCCCAAACTGACAGCCTCGGGTTACCCGGCTAAGCGCCGCCCAGCCAGCCTCCGGGCCACAGGGGGGCGCTGTCCCCCGCCCCCCGCCTGCACACGGGCCGCTCTAGGACCGGTAGTGGGACAAGGGCCGGGTTCAGGCTCCGGGCCCGGGTGGGGCGCGTCCAAAAGGCTGAATGGGCGGCTGCAGAAGCTTCGGGAGAGTCCGGGCCGCAGGAGGCTCTTCTCTCGTTAGTGACCCTCGTCGGACAGCGAGGCCCCGCCCTCGCCCATCTCAGCCAGGCGTTCGAATCCCGCCTCTGCAACTGGCGGCGCCCCAGCCCCACCGGCTTGAGGCGCCAAAGGACCCGTCTGGGGGCTCATGGCGGCGCCGGTCCGCTTGGGCCGGAAGCGCCCGCTGCCGGTTTGCCCCAACCCGCTCTTCGTCCGCTGGCTGACCGAGTGGCGGGACGAGGCGGCCAGCAGGGGGCGCCGCACACAATTCGTATTTCAAAAGGTGGGTCTCGGCCGGGCCTGATGGGGCAGGAGCTGGCGGAGCCTGACGCCCAGGCCCGCCCCGACCCAGTCCCGTGCCCCGTGCCCCGCCAGGCGCTGCGCTCGCTCCGGCGTTACCCGCTCCCCCTGCGCAGCGGCAAAGAAGCGAAGATCCTGCGGCATTTCGGGGACGGGCTGTGCCGGATGCTGGACCAGCGGCTGCAGCAGCACCGGTCTTCGGGCGGTGAGCGCGGGACGCAGGGGGCGGCGGTCCCTGAGCCTCCCACGGCGCAGCCTTGCAGCCACCTGGCATCCCGAACCCCCACTCCTGTCCACGTTACTGCTGGTCGTTGGACTCGTGGCCGGCTCGCTCGGAACCGCATTGCTCTCAGCTACCATCCGAGCTGGCGGTGTCCCAAACCCTCCCACCTGCTGGGTTTCTGCATTCTGTGGGGCCTGGGGGTGACTCTCTCTTCTGCTCCCGCAGGTGATCATGCCCCAGATTCACCTGGAGCTGAGAATCCAGCCCCGGAATGTCCACCTGCCGAAGTCCCGGAGGCCTCCGTGCCAGTGAGGATGGGGAAAGGGAGGGGCAGCACTAGGACGGAAGTAAGAGGGGCAGATCTCCCCACCAGTGGTGCCCAGCCTCGGGCACATGAGTATCTTCCTGATGCTTAGTTTTCTCACCTGCTGATGAGTATGCTGATTGATAGTAGCGTCAGTTGGGAGAGTTCCATGATCAGGCTGTTGAGGCCACCCAAGTGAATTGTGGGGGTTGGTGTTCCTGAGGTTTCCTTTCTTTTCTTTTTTCTTTTCTTTTTTAAATATATTTAATCGATTTTGTACAGAGAGGAAGGGAGAGAGAGAGCCAGAAACATCGATGAGAGAGAGTCATCGATCAGCTGCCTCTTGCACACCCCCTACTGGGGATATGCCGGCAACCAAGGTACATGCCCGACGGGAATCGAACCAGAGTCCCTTCAGTCCCCAAGCTGGCGCTCTATCCATTGAGCCACACCGGTTTCGGCCCTGAGTTTTCTTGTGTGACCACCTCTGTCCTGCAGTGGGTGGTGGGACTGAGGCTGGACCAGGTCCACTACACCATCTCCCCACAACCCTCCGCTGCCTCCCCCGGCTTTGCAGGGTCATCCCCTCCTCTGGCCTATTTTACAGATGTGGGACCCGAGGGGCAGCTGAGGGACTTGGCCAGGGCCGTGCTGAGAGGACCCCGGAACCTCGGCCCGTCCAGGCGTTACGCCTACAGGGCGTGGCTCTCTGGCTTTGTGTTCAGAGCCCCTCTGTGCCTTTCAGGGCCCGTCCCAGCCCAAAGCGGGGCGCTCCGGCAGCTACTGGCCAGCCCGGCACTCGGGAGCACGGGCAGTGCTGCTGCTGCTCCACCGAGAACACCTGGTGAGGCTGCACCGAGGCGGGACCGAGGCCGCGGCGAGGCCGGAGGAGACTCTGAGCCTCCTTTGGTTACTTTTCTGCCTTGGTTACAGAGTCCCAGCGGCCACAGCTTCCTCACCAAGGAGGAGCTGCTGCAGAGGTGTGCCCAGGCGTTTCCTGGGGTGAGCACTCGGGGGGAGGATGGGCCCAGTGGCTCCGGATCTGACTCTGGGAGAAGTGGCCTCGGGCACGGGGAGGTGGACACCCGGCAGCACCAGGGCCCTCTAAGGTCTCCCTTCTGTGGCAGGTGGCCCCCGGGAGCACTGGACCCTGGCCAGCCCTCCGCTCCCTTCTCCACAGGAACCTGGTCTGCAGGACACACCAGCCAGCCAGGTGGGTCAGCCACAGGCGGCGGGGGCCGAGCGGTGGGAGGGGATCGTGTGTGATGTTCTGAGTGGGGCCTGCAGTCGCCTAGCAACCCCAGGTCTCTTAATGTTGAAGTTGGGGGCGGCCTTGCCTCCAGAAGCCCCGCTGGGGGGAGGGGACCCAGGGGGGTCTGAGAGGCCAGCGGGGGGGGGGGGGGGGGTGCCAGGGTTACTGGACCAGCAGGAAGGCTCTGCTGAGAACACAGCATCTGACAGGTCTTAGATCCAGAGGGGCGAGATGCAGGAAGGGCAGTCCAGGGAGGAGGGGACAAAATAAACCAAGTTGGGAGGAGGGAAGTCTGTCTGAGACGCACTTGTTGTAGACTTGACTTGGGAAATGGCCCTGGGCCGGAACCGGTTTGGCTCAGTGGATAGAACGCCAGCCTGTGGACTGAAGGGTCCCAGGTTCGATTCCGGTCAAAGGCACATAACGTTGGTTGCAGGCACATCCCCAGTAGGGAGTGTGCAGGAGGCAGCTGATGGATATTTCTCTTTCATCGCTGTTTCTAGCTCTCTATCCCTCTCACTTCCTCTCTGTAAAAAAATCAATAAAATATATTTTATAAAAAGAAAATGGCCCTGGGCTGGTCCAGAGGAAGCTGATCTGAGAACAGAGCCCGGGGTGTTGGGGTGGCAGGCTGCCAAGGGGTGGGGAGAGCAGCTAGCGGCCGCGGCCGGACAGCCTGCCAGGTGCGAGTGAAGGAGTCTCTGTTTTTTCCTCCGCCCACCAGGTACTCACTGACCCCGCAGGGCCTGGAGCTGGCCCAGCAGCTGGCAGCGGCAGAGGGCCTGAGCTCACTGAGTGTGCGCGCTGGGTCGGAGGAGCCCTCTGGGGAGGAGCCAGAGGTGCCAGGACCGGCCTTGGCTGAGCTGTGAGGAAGGGGGCGGGGGGGGGGGGGGGGGGGGAAGAAAAGGGAAGCAGGAGTCGTCTCCGAAATGAGGCCCACACCCCACCCCGTCTCCATCACCTACAGCTGAGCTGTGGCTGCACCACGTGCCCGGGGTTTGGAGGGAAACTGCCCTGGCACTGAGCTCTGCCTCACACCCCCCTCCTCCTGCAGTGGCGCCAGGGAAGGCAGCGCCCAGCAGCCACCGCTGGAGCTGAGGCCTGGGGAGTACAGGGTGCTGTTGTGTGTGGATGTTGGCGAGGCCAAGGGGTGAGCGAGGTGGGGGAGGGAGGGAGGGGGCGCTGGGGATGAACTGGCCTGCCCTGACCTAAGCCTCCCACCTTCCCCTTCCAGGGCGGGGCACAGGCCGGAGCTGCTGCGCCAGCTTCAGCGGCTGCGCGTGGCCCACGTGGTGCGCAAGCTGCACGTCGGGGACTTCGTGTGGGTGGCACAGGAGACCCGGCCCAGGGACCCATGTAAGGGGTGGGCAGCGGGTGGCTGTCAGGCGGGGCGGCTGTCAGGCAGCGGGGCGGCTGTCAGGCAGCGGGGCGGCTGTAGGCGGGGCGGCTGTCAGGCGGGGCGGCTGTCAGGCAGCGGGGCGGCTGTCAGGCGGGGCGGCTGTCAGGCGGGGCGGCTGTAGGCGGGGCGGCTGTCAGAGGCAAGGCCTGCTGGGTGGGGGGACGGAGCCAACGGGACCTTCTTGGCCTCTCGGCAGCAAGACCCGGGGAACTCGTCCTGGACCACATCGTGGAGCGCAAGCGGCTGGATGACCTGTGCAGCAGCATCATCGACGGCCGCTTCCGGGAACAGAAGGTTCTTTACCAGCCTCAGGGCCACTCCTTCCTGCCTGCTCCGCGGTTTCCTCAGCCACGGGGAAACCCAGGTTCCCACAACTCCGGCCATACCCCTTAGAGCTGCCCCGGGCCCTCCAGGGGCACAGCAGGGGCACAGCAGGGGCCCGGGGTGTCTGGCTGGGCGGAGGAGCATATTCAAGACCCCTGGCGCGTCCAGTCCCTTCAGTCTGGCATCACAAGGCCCAAAGTTCCAGAAGCCCCGGAGCCAGAACCGCTGTTTCTCGGTACTGGCTCCTGGGCTGATCCCATCGGAGACCACGATGGGCTAAGGGAGGCCTGAAGAACGGGCAGCACTAAAGATGGTGGGCAGGCTTTCCATGCCAGAGTAGCAGCATGAACAAAGGTGTGGAGGTCACTCAGACAAGTGGACTAGGGAGGACAAGAAGATTGGGGATGCTGAGTGACACACTGGGGGCCCAGCATGGGGCATCCAGGCCTTACACCCCTCCCTCCCCCCTCGGCCGCCCCAGTTCCGGCTGAAGCGCTGTGGCCTGGGGCGCCGGGTGTACCTGGTGGAGGAGCACGGCTCGGCGCACGGCCTCAGCCTCCCCGAGAGCACGCTGCTGCAGGCCGTCACCAACACGCAGGTGAGCGGGCGGCGGGGCGGGGGGGGGGGGGGGGGGGGGAGCCTGTGGGCTGTGGCCCGGCCCGGAGCCGCCTCCGTGTCCTCTCCCCAGGTCATCGACGGCTTCTTCGTGAAGCGCACGGCAGACATCAGGGAGTCGGCTGCCTACCTGGCCCTCCTGACGCGGGGCCTGGAGAGGCTGTACCAGGTGAGCGGGGTGTGTGTGCCCTCAGGACGGCTGGGCGAGTGAGATCCCCCTTCCTCCGGCGGCCCCTGGGGCCCGGGACCCGGCAAGGACCGGCTGGGGGGTTTCCCTAGAGCTCTGGCCTGGCCTCAGTCCCCTCTCCCCTCAGGGCCACACCCTATGCAGTCGCCCCTGGGGAACCTCAGGGGACCCCGAGTCAGGATCTGGGCCCACCCTGAGTCCTCTCTGCTCACTCCTCACCTTCAATGACTTCAACGCGGGAGCCATCAAAAACAAGGTACTGCCCCGCCCACATCCTCCCTAACGTGGTGCGGCCCCAGCTGGCCCCTCACACAGCCTCCCCTGACCCCGGCCCAGGCCCAGTCTGTGAGGGAGGTTTTCGCCCGGCAGCTGATGCAGGTCCGAGGCGTGAGCGGGGAGAAGGCAGCCGCCCTGGTGGATCGGTACAGCACCCCTGCCAGGTGGGCCTCCCCAGCGCCCCTTGGGGTCCCCCGTCCTGCCCCCCAGCATGGGTTTCGCTCAGCCGATGCTTTGTGGGGGTTGGTTGTGAGAGCTGCACAGGCCCCGAACGGACAGATTCGGCTGAGCCTTGGGGAGGCTGGGTAGTGAGGAAGACCATGCTGGCCAGGACCAGACAGTATCTCAGTGGTCGGGGGAGCCCCCAAGAGGGAGGTCTCATTCCACCTGGTGTGGCAGAGAAGGCATCCTGGAGGGGCCGGGGGTGGGACAGGGGCTGGGCCAAGAACTTGGAGCAGGAGGGGAGGGTGAGTGGGATGGAGCAGAGCCGTGAATGCCAGGTGCAGGAAGTATGGAGGGTCCTGATGCCTTGGACCAGTGAAGCCCTTTCTACCCGTCTCCCATGGCTTGGGCCCAAGCTGCTCAGTGGCCAGCAGTCAGTCACTGTCAAACGCTCCCCCATCTCCAGCCTGCTGGCCGCCTACGATGCCTGTGCCACCCCCAAGGAGCAGGAGATGCTGCTGAGCACCATCAAGTGTGGGCAGCTGCAGAGGTGAGGGGCAGACCCGGAGGGGATGGGGGAGGCAGGGGGCAGACCCGGAGGGGATGGCTGGGGCGGGAGTCGCTGTGGTCCAGGACCTGACCTCGCTAGCCTCTCCTTCATGCAGGAATCTGGGACCCGCTCTGAGCAGGACCTTGTCCCAGCTCTACTGCAGCTACAGCCCCCTGACCTGAGCTGGGCCACGAGACGGACCCAGCACCCATATCGAGGCTGGCCAGCCTTTAACCAGCATCTCAGGGTTTCCACAAGAGCCTGAGTGTTCGCAGCTGTGTGCGGTGCGGAGGGCAGGCCCAGGCCCCTGTCAGATCCGCAGGAGGGCCTAACTGAGCGGCTGAGGATGGAGCTTGCGGGAGAGCACGGAGCCTGGCAGGGAGTGGAGCCGGTGAGACGCTGCAGCTTTGAATCTAGTTTATGTCATCAGACGATCCCCGATCAAACAAAACTCCCTCCGGTAAAAGTTTCTGTTGCTTGGAAAAGAAACGTTTAAAAAGCACTAACAGTCAAAGCGCCTCATTTTATGGATTGGAGAGCTGAGTCCCAGGGTGCTACGAGGGTTTGTCCAATTGACAGTTTGAGGCCCAGGTAGGACTGAACCAGGGTCCCTGCACACCAGCCGCGGCCTGGAGCCTGCACCTCGGTCCTCCCTTTTTAGGGTGATTCTGATACCCAGCCTTGGGGACACAGCTCCCAACTCCTGCCAAAGGGGTCCCCTCAGCCATAGCTAACCCCCACTTTAGGCGGACTTGACCCGCCTCCCACAAGCCCAGCCCCTTCCCCAGCCTGGGGTTCACTGCAGCATTGCCCGCCCCCCTCAGCCACCAGGACTCCTTCTTTCTCCCTTTATTGCCTTTCTCTCTGCCCTTCACAACAGCATCTTCCCTTTTAGCAGAATGCGGTCCACCCTGAGCCTCAGGCTCCTCGGCCACAGGGACTCCCCCTCCGAGAGCTGTCCCCTCAGAAGGCGTAGGCCCCCACGAAGACGGTGAGCCTCAGCACCGAGCTGGCCCGGTAGCTCATGAGGGAGTTCATGGTTACCATCTCGAGGTCCAGCACATACTCCCGGGGGCCCGTCACCGGCCGGGCGAGGACCAGCATGGCGCTGACGTTGTTGATTTGCTGCAGGGCACAGGGGTGGGGACATGGCGATTGTGTCAGCCTTCGTGCCAGGACCCTCGGCCAGCATCACCTCCCTGCCCCGTGTTTTGCACCCACAACCAGCTGTCTGGGAAGCAGAGGGAGCCCCGGCCAGGCTGTGGTCCCAGGCTGTCCTCAGGCGCCATGACACCCTGACGTCTCACCCCCTGCACCCTGGCTCCTGCCCTCAGAACTCTGTCACATGCTCTTCCCATTTCAGAAAGAACAAGGACTCAAAGCAGACAAACCTGTGCGCCCTCACTACTCACACCTGGAGCCCCCTCCTAACCGCTCCTCCAGCAGAGCTGAATCTCTGACCCAGGCCACTGCCCCCGCCCCCATCTCTCAGCCCAGCTCCCTGCTGCCCTCCCTGCTGGGTTCTACCTGGAACCCCGGAGGTCCTCTCCTGTCCGGCACTTGTTCTGAGGGTGAAGACACCGGGGCCAGATACGGAAACACAAGCCCAGGGTGTCCTTGAAGTACATTTAACCGTCTAGTTTGTCCCGAGGGGGCTTCCAACACCCCCACCTTTCTACAGAAAGCCCGCCTCCCGGGGTGGGGCCGTGAGGAGGGCGGGGCCTGGTGCCCTAACCCAATCTCCCATTTAAGGTTTCCCGGAATTCGATTTTGGATGATGCGTGTCACTGGAGGGAGGGGAGGGGGAGGCTCACCCTGATGTAGAAGTCCCCCTGCGAGTTCCCAGCGCGGATCTGGAAGGCGTTGTAGGCGCCGGGGTAGACGGAGGTCGCCTGGATCTGGAACACGTCGGCGGGCACGCTCCGCTCCGAGGTGATGCTCATGTAGCGGTGCACGATGGAGGAGGGCTGCTCGCGGCACAGCGGGTTGGAGGCCGGGCAGAGGCAGCGACTGGAGCCCAGGGGAAGGGGACACGAATGAGGTCCTGGCCCATTCCCCAAAATGAGTGCGCATGGTCGGCATGAAGGACTACAACTCCCATCAGCCCCCGGGGCACCGGCCAGCCCTAAGAGAGGCCAGCCAGCTGCAGAGCCCGATGGGGGTTGTACTGGGTGGAGGAGGGGCCTGAGGTGACTCACTTGTCGGACACCTGCACATAGGGCTCCACGCAGCGGTTGGTGTCCACGCAGCGGTAGCCCCCATAGAAGTTGACACAGGTCTGGGCCTCAGAGCACTGGTGTGCACCGGACTCACACTCGTCAACGTCTGTGCCAGGGGAGAGGGGCTGGAACCTGGACATCAGGCCTCTAACCCCTGACACCACCCGGCCCACTCCACCCGGGCAGCCCGTACCTTGGCAGAGGCGCGTGGCCAGCAGCTGGTAGCCCTGTGGGCAGTGGCAGGAGAAGCGGCCTGGCTCATTGACACAGCGGTACTGGCAGAGGTAGCTAGAGTAGCTGCACTCGTCGATATCTGCGGAGGGCGGTGAGTCTGGGTCAAGGGCAGTTCTCACTCAGTCCCACAAACGTTCGGCGAGAGCCCAGCCCCACGCTAGGTCCCGTGTGGGAAGACGGAGGAGGTGAGACAGCCATGCAAGCACCGCAGGGGCACGGAGAATTCAAAGGAAGGTCTGCCAGACTGCCCAGCTCATGGACTAAAAGAAGAAACGAAATGAAAGCACTAGGCTTCGTTTTATTCCTACTGAGTTTTGGAAACCTCGATTTCCCCTGTCAATAAAACGAGTACGTTAGACCAGCTGAGCCTTGAAGGCCCAGTCGGCTCTGGTTCTCAGTAACTTGCCCAATTCCCGCAATCCACGACGAGCCCGGGCACCTGCCACTGTGTCTGCACAGCAGGAGCCGGGCTTTCCACGCGGGATTCCCTCTCGCTGCCTCGCCCCAGCCAGTACCCATGGGGCCCCACGGGCAGCAAAGCATTCTATCAACGGTGTGTGGCCAGCTGACATGGAAGGAGAAGTCTGGGTGGAGACCTGGCCCATCTCCCCCTAGTTGTATGATCTTGTATGACCCCTTAACCCCTCTTTGTGGAAGGACTGCATGCTTCCTCTCTTCTCGTAAGCCTCTCAACAAGCCTTGGGGGAGATAGCGTCTTCATTTTGCAGAGAAAGGAAACAAATTATACGTACACCTCATAGGATCGCTAGCAGGATTAAATAAAGTCAAGTGTATGAGGGAAGTGCCTGCCCAGGGGAAGTTCTGGATAAATGGCATTCACTTCACAGTGCTGCTGCTGGGGACTGAGTTGGTCATTTCCCCACTTAGTTCTGAGACCACCCATCTCACAGCTGCATGACTGGGTTGAGAGAGAAGAGTGACTGGTCATAATCCTGGGTTCAAATGAAGTCCGCCTGCTTACAAGGAGGCGGCCACCTACACCCTGGCTCAGTCTGCCCAATGGCCTGACTGCTCCCTCTGTGCCTTCCCTGCCAGCTGGGGGCCGTGGTGGGCAGGTCCCAGGAGCCCTGCAATGCAACCAGCTGGGGGGGTGTTTAGTGGGTACGTGGGTGCGCCATGAGCGGGGACAGGGAGGCACCAGACGGAGGACCGTGTGGCAGGAGGCACGATGGCGCAGGGGGCAGGGGAGGAACACTGGAGGGCGGGCTCTCACCGCTGCAGGAGAAGCCATCCCGGTGCAGCTCGTAGCCCTGGTGGCAGCGGCACAGGAAGGTCCCGTAGGAGTTGAAACAGCGCTGCTCACAGGGAGCCCCCAGGTCACATTCATTCACATCTGGGGGTGCCAGGAGAAAAGGAGTGAAGACCCAGGAGCAGCCCAGAGCCCCCATTTCACCCGTTGCCCTGGGCCGGTCAGGAAGGGAGCGAGCTTCCACCCACATCACCCCGGCCCAGCCTCACCCACACAGGAGCGGTTGTTGGGCCCCAGCTGGAAGCCGGGCTCGCACTGGCAGCGGAAGGAGCCCGGCAGGTTCACGCAGCGGTGCTGGCAATAGCGGTAGCGGCACTCGTCTATGTCTGGGGCGGAGGGCGGAGGACGGAGGGCAGAGGTCAGGTGGCAGGCACTCAAGCTGGCAGGGAGGGTAAGCCTCGCCACCCACAGTCTTGTCTGTGCGGGCTGGGCTGGGCCGGGCCAGATCGGGCAGGACTCTCACATACCCCTGTGCGGTGTCTGCTGACAGAGGTGGCAGGGGCCTGGGGTGAAGCCTGGAGGTGGGCTGGGCTGGGGAGAGAGCCGGGCCAGGGGCACAGAGCAGAAACTAGCAAGGCCGCCCCAGACTCACCCACACATTCAACCCCAATCTTGCGGTAGCCATCGGGGCAGGTGCACTGGTAGGAGCCGGGCAGGTTGTGGCAGTCCTGGCTGGGGCGGCAGTCGTGCAGGGCCTGGGTGCACTCGTCCACGTCTGCAGGAGACACCACTCAGCCCTGCAACCCCCTCAGGACAGACGCCTCAATGTTGGAGGACACACAGGCCCGGAGTCACTCACATGGCACATGGGTGATGTACCCCGAAACAGGAGCACGTGAACTAGACCCTCCCAACAACACAGAACACAGCCCCCAGCCTGGGAGCCAGCGGGAAGGGCACCCGGGCCTGGGGGAGCCCGTGACAAGGAAGCGCAGGAAACAGGCCCTGTGCCTGCTCCTCCAAGCACTGATTGCGCCTTCCTCCCAGGCCATGGTGCCAGGGGGACCAGGTCGGAAAGGGGTGAGGGGACAGCGGCTATGAGGCAGAGCTCTGGCCGGTGCCTGCAGCAGTGGAGGGGAGCGTCCCTCAGGCTGGCCAGGGTAGTGGGGCCGGAGCTGGGGCACCTGGGGCAGACCCCACACGAAGTGAGGGTCTGGGGGAGGGCCCAGGTGTTGTTCCAGTGACTGAGGAGGCTTTTGAGCAGGGGGGAACAGGTCTGAGTCTGTTAGACGAGTGGCAGACACTTGGTAGGAGGCCTGGCAGCCCCCGTGGCAGGGTGACTCTTACCCACACAGCTCTCCTGCTCATCGGGCTCGTAGCCTGGCGGGCAGGGGTTGGGGTGCTGAGCGGGGGGCACTGGCGGCGGCGGCCCCTCGCCGTGCAGGTCGTTGATGACGGCGGCGGAGCGGGGCAGGCACAAGTAGCCCCCATAGTGGTTGATGCACTTCATCTCCCCCTTGCAGGCCTCGGGGATGGTCAGGCACTCGTTGACGTCTGCGGAGAGGGGCCTGCTGGGCACGGCGTTTCCCGGGCTGCCCGTGGGGGGGGAGGCAGCAGCCCCGTGTGGCCTTCTCTGAGCTGTGACCCCCGCAGGGCCTTCCCTCTCTGCTCAACAGGCTAAGTTGCCTGCCCAGGACCCTCCCCGGCCTGCCAGGGCTGCTGCTGGGGTGGCTGTGCCCAGTCACCTCCATTCTCTTGTCCCTCAGAGAGTCTCTATCCCTCCCTAAGCTCTGGCCCTGGCTCAGCCCCAGAGAGATGAGCAGGCCTGCTGGCCCCCCGCAGACACTGCCCTGCCCTCGGTGTGGTGTGGCCCTGAGGAGTGCTTCCAGGAGGTGCCCTCAGGGCAGGCCTGTGGCTCTCCGGGAGAGGTGGGGGCAGGGGGCCCCAGTTTCCCGGAGGAGGAGCGGCCTGGATGGCTTCCCCGCCCCTGGCTGAGCTGGCCCCCAAAGGACCGGAGCTGGCCCCGCAGGGCAGAGCAGAGCGGGCACAGGACAGGCCACTGGCCTCCTGGGCAGCTAGCTCCTGGAGCTGAGGCGGCGAACCCTCTCCCGGCTCCTGGGGGTCCCCCAGGCACACTCACCCCGGCAGTGCTGGCTGTCAGGGTCCCACTCATAGCCATCTGTGCATTCCTACAAGGGACCAGCGGTGGCCAGTGTTCACCCTGCCCCCTCCACTGCCCAGGCCAAGGGCAGGGTCCTGAGCCTCCCTCCCGGGGCTGCTCCACACAATGGCTCCTGCTGCTCCCCCAACAGGGGAGGGGAGGACCTTCCCCACAGCAGCCCCGGGACCCTGACCCGAGTCCCTGCCCCTCCCCTCCCAGGCCAGCGGCCCCGCGGTCCCCACCGTGTAGCTGTCGGGCTCCTCCGAGTCCTGGGGAGACGCTGCCCCCAGGAGCAGCAGCAGCAGCGCCCAGAGCAGCAGCGAGCCGGGGAGGCAGGAGGCGAAGGGCAGCATCCTGGGGGGGGGACCCAGGGGTCAGCGCCTCGGCCTCGGCGCCTCCCTCCTCCCGCAGCGGCCCCTCCGCCGGCCGCCCCGCCCCCGCCCGCCCCGGGGCCGCGGGCGGAGGAGCGGGCCTGGCGCTCCGCTGCCGCGGGGCCGGGACCGGGCTCCGGCCTCCCCCGCCGCCCGCACTCACTCGGCCCGCGACGCCCCCGCGGCCCGGCTCCGGCGGCTCCGGCGGCTCCGGCGGCGCTGCGGGCGGACGGACGGGCCGACGGCGCAGCTCCCTGGACGCGCGGCCCCAGGAAGCGCCCCCCGCCCGCCGCCGCCGCCGGCGCGGCCCACCCCGGCGCTCCGCCCGCCGCCGCCCGGATTCCTGAGCCCGCGCCAGGGGGAGGGCCCCGACCCCCGCTCCCGCCCGGTCCCCGCGGCGCCGCCCGAGCCGCCCCGGGCTCGGGGCCAAGCGTGTTCCCCGGGGAGGCCCGGCCCCGATCCCGCCCCCGGCCCCCAGGCCCCCGGCCCCCAGGCCCCCGGCTCCAGTGTTTGGGATTGAAGTCCCCGGGCCTCAGTGTGTGCGCCCCGAATCCCACCCTGGCACCCACCTCCCTAACCCGCCCCCGAATCCCACCCTGGCACCCACCTCCCTAACCCGCCCCGAATGCCACCCTGGGCACCCACCTCCCTAACCCGCCCCCGAATGCCACCCTGGGCACCCACCTCCCTAACCCGCCCCTGAATCCCACCCTGGCACCTACCCTCCCTAACCCCCACCCCCCCGAATCCTACCCTGGGCACCCACCTCCCTAACCCCCACCCCCCCGAATCCTACCCTGGGCACCCACCTCCCTAACCCGCCCCGAATCCCTCCCTGGCACCCACCTCCCTAACCCGCCCCCGCATCCCACCCTGGCACCCACCTCCCTAACCCGCCCCCGGAATCCCTCCCTGGTACCCACCTCCCTAACCCGCCCCCGGATCCCACCCTGGCACCCACGTCTCCAGGCCGGGTCCCCCGACTCTGCGCCTCCCAGGGGTCATCCTGGGCACCTAACCTAACCCATCCTGGGCCCACCGGGGCCTCCATCTGGACGCTGCAGTTTTCACTCTGCGCCCGGGAAACACCAGACTTCCCCCGGCCCCCAACTCGGGCCGGAGCGGTTCCTCGGGCTCCCCGCCAGCCGGGGCTCCCCTCCAGCCGGGGCTGGCGGCGGGGGCGCAGCTCCTCTGGCCCGGAATGAATGGAAGCCCCTGGGAAGCGGGCAGGACTGACGGGCGAGCCAGACGCCAGGGCGCGGCGCCAGCGCCTCCCGCCCTCCGCCCTCCGCCCTCCGCCCCCGCGGGCCCGGGTTCCCGCCTCCCCCGCCCCCCCCAGCGGAGGGAGCGCCCCGGGGGCGGGGCCGGCTCCCAGGAAGGGGCGGGGCCTCCTGCCCACGTCCCGGGGCGGAGCCAGACGGGAAAGGCCGCGTGTCCCGGGAGCCCCCGCCTCGCGGCGCACCACGTGCGGGGCCCGGCGCCCTCCCTTCCCTTCCCGTCTCCCTGGCCTCACGGTCTCCACGCACGCAGCCCGGCCCCGACGGCATGCCCGGGAGGGGCCGTGCCCGGGAAGGGTCCCGCGGTGAGCCCTGGCTTCAGGGCGAACTGGCCTGTCTCCCCACCCCACATCCTCCCCAGCTGCTGGGTGTGGAGGCTAAAAATAATAGCCGTCTGCCACCAAAAGACAGGCGCTGACAAGTGCTGATGAGCACATGGGACATGGGAGCCCTCGGACAGTGTGGGCGGGAATGTCATCTGCGGCGCCCCCCTTTGGAAAAATTATGGCGGATCCCCAAAATGTTACAGGACCCAGCAATTTCACTCCTAGGAAATACACCCCGGGGGACGGAAACGTGTCCACACAAAAAAATTCGTACACCTCGAATAGCAACACTGTTCATAAGAACTAAAACGTAGAAACAAGTTTAATTTCTGTCGACTTACAAATGGATAAGTAAAATGTATATGAATGGATAAAAAATGATAGAATATTACTCAGCCATAAAAAGGAATAAAAAAACTAATATGTGCTACTACATAGACGAACCCTGAATGTATTATACTAGGAGAAAGAAGCCAGACACAGAAGGCCTCATGTTCTGTAGGTAAGGTGACCAGACGTCCCGATTTTTAACAATTTGTCCCGCATCCTGCAGTGTTTTAAAAAAGTCCCAATGTTTGGAAAGAATCTGGACTTTTTTAAAACGACGCGGGACAAATTGTTAAGAATCTGGACTGTCCTGCCAAAAGCGGACATCTGGTCACCTTATCTCTAGATGTGACAGCCAGAATAGGCGATCGGAGAGACAAACTAGATCAGTGTTTGCCAGGGGAGCACGTAGCAGGGAGTGACTGCTAACAGTTATGGGGTTTCTTTCAGGATGATGAGAATGCTCTGAAATGAGACAGTGGTGTTGACCACAATTATATAGATACACTAAAAGCCACTGAATTGTATAATTTACCAGGGTAAATGTTACGGTATGTGAATTACACATCTCAATAGGGCCATTATTTAAAAAAAAAAATAGTAAAAGTTACAGCTGGATTATCAAGATCTAACCATTCCAAGTATCAGCATGTACCCTCCTGCCAAGCCAGGGAAGGGGTGCTAAGAGGCTAAGGTTTGTCCAGGCACAGCCAGAGCTAAGGACGGGATTTGAACACAAGTCCTTCTGACTCCACCACTCTGGGCTCAAATAGGACATAAAAACAACAAACCAGAGAGAAAACAAACAGGGCTCTGGCTCCCACCATCAGAACAGCCAGCCGGGTGGGAGGTGCCCAGTGTCCGTCCAGTCAAAGGAGCTGTCACTGCCACTTAGAGATGAGCAACAGAGGTCCGGAGGGGAATGGCTGGCTGCACAGTTGACCTCTCGAACTTGGACCCACGCCTCCATCTGCACTATCAGGCCTGAGGGCACTTGCCACTCACAGCTGTCTCCTGACCTCTGTGACCCTAGCAACTTCCCCGCCTTCCGCCTTCTGCGCTGGGGCACAAGCCTCCGCTGGGTTAATGTCAGGAGTTCCTCCCAGGCGGTGAGCCCTTGAGACCCGGGGCCCCTGGGCCGGCCCCCCCTGGGTGCCTGCCAGGAGCTGCAGGATGAGTGCAAGTGAGTGAGTGAGCGGGGACGTTCATTCATCCATCCATCTATCCATCCACTCAACAAATGTGCCCTGTGCGGCCACCATTGACCAGGCTCTGTGTCAGGTGCCAGGGACGCAGCACCAATCAAAAATGACTGTAATCTCCTGGCATCCTGGGACTCACAGTCAATGGAGGGAAGAAGTGGATCAATGAGAAAGGTCACCCAGCTCCACTCCCCCAAGTTTCCACAACCCCCACCACCACAGAGACAGATTTTATGACACCCCCTTTTATGCCCACACTGGGACCCCTAGCTCTGAGGCTGACACATGGGGCCTTAGTCATAGGTCACACACAATCCAAGACTAACGTGGGGCGTATGACTGAGGGTCTACAGCCATGCAGCCAGGGGCCCCTCTGTGGATGGGCTGTCTCCTGAATTTGGATAAAGACAGCATGGCTTTTTCCCCGTAGGGCAGTCCCGTGGCTGGCTGCCCGGGGTGGGAGTGAGGGTGGTGCAGCTTCCTCATGAATGAAAAACTGAGGAATGCCAAGGCCAGAGCCCAGCCCCCGCCCCCATCATTATAAATCCCCAGAAAACCGGCTCTCCCCCCCCTCTCTGGTCTTAGGCACTGGTTTCCATTCTGGGGGCCTGGTTTCCTGCCTGGAGGCTCAGAGGGGCGAGCCCCCACCTAACACCCCTTCGAACGGAGGCCGCAGTGACAGGTGTCAACACCCTCCCCCGCACCCGACTTCACCGGCCTTGGCCTCGCTGTCTGAGGTGCCAGCCTCTCTCTCTGCTCCCACATCCCCACACAGACTGCGACAGGAATGGAGGACTAGAGGCAGGAGCTGCTACTTGCTGTCCCTGGACATGCTCCTGCCACTGGCATTTCCTGTTTAAAACCCATGGGAACAACATGACAACAAATTGTTCAGTCAGCAACACCCGCCAAGCCTGCTCCGTGCCCAGCCGCATCCCGGGCACCGTGACTCAGGGCCTCAGACCCCTCTGAGCGGTCGGAAGACGCAGGCGGGCTCAGGCACGGCAGGGCTCGGGGGCTGTGGTTACATCAGAGGGTGAGGGCAGGGAAGGCTTCTGAGCTGACTCGGCTTTGTAGGATGAGCAAGAGTGTTTTCCCAGGGGCCACTGACCACCCTCTCCCCACACACCCAGTTGTCAGGGCCCGTGGCTCCCGTAGTCCCCTGAGCTTACCCCTCACAGTGCTGATGGCTTTGTCACTGCCCGCTTAGGACCTGTCTCCTTAAGGACAGATCCGTTTAAGGATTGCCCAAAACAGGGTGGACTGAGAGCCTCTGTTGAATAAGGAAAAAGGAAAAAGGGTGTCCTCGCTGGTTTGGCTCAGGGTCCTGGGTTCGATTCTGATGAAGGGCACTTGCCTGGGTTGTGGGCTCAACCCCCAGGAGGGAGCATGGGGAGGCAGCCAATCAATGATTCTCTCATTGTTCATGTTTCTCTCTCTGTCCCTTCCTCTCTAAAATCAATAAAAATATATTTTAAAAAATTTAAAAAAGAGCCGAAACTGGTTTGGCTCAGTGGGTAGAATGTTGGCCTGCGGACTGAAGGGTCCCAGGTTTGATTCCGGTCAAGGGTATGTACCTTGGTTGCGGGCACATCCCCAGTGGGGAGTGTGCAGGAGGCAGCTGATCGATGTTTCTCTCTATCCCTCTCCCTTCCTTTTTGAAAAAATCAATTAAAAAAAAATTTAAGAAAAAAAAAGGGGGGGCGAGTAGACAGGCCTTGCACAGATAAAAGCCTGAATGCCTCTTGAGGGTCCGCCTCTCCCTCCCAGGCTAGTTTCCCCTTAGTGGTTTCTCCAGCTCCGCCCTCAGCCCCTCCAGTTTGTGCTCGGCTTCCTGTCCCTAGCATTCTGGTCTGCAGCAGCATGGCACTCACTGTCCATCTCTCCTGCCTCCTGGTGCTGTCGGTGGCAGGACTAGCCCAAGGCATCAAGGACTCCCTCAGAGTCCAGGTAAGTGCCCACAGCCTGCTCCCCAAACCCTCCCTTCTGCAAGCCCAAGTGTGGGGCTCCCCCCTCAGAAACAACTGGCTTGTTCCCATTTCTCCGAGGGAGCAACGGAGGCTGGAGAGGTGACAGATATGCCCAAGCTCACCCAGGGGGATAGAACAGACTACCGTGTTTCCCCGAAAATAAGACATCCTCCGAAAATAAGACCTAGCGCAACTTTGGGAGAAAAAATTAATATAAGACCCTGTCTTATTTTCGGGGAAACAGGGTAACTGGTTGACCCTCATCCCACCCCCACCCCCCCGGTTCCTTCCAGAACCCAGGCCCAAGGCCGCTGGAGCTGAAAGAGATCTTCGCTTCGTTCCAGATCCAGTACAACCGAAGCTACTCGAACCCAGCAGGTACCGTGGGACCCCTCGTCTCTGCCCAACCCCGCTCCTCCCATTTAATCACTGATGAAGTCAGGCTCAGGGTGGGCGCTGGGCTTGAGGTAAGGAAATCATTCCTGCGCATTGAACACGGACATTCTTGGCCGAGTCTGCAGGGAGCTGTGGCTGTCGGGGGCTGCCCAGAGGGTCCTTCGGCTCCACAGTGAGCGGGAAACCACCATCTAGTCACAGTCCATTCAGCAAACATCTAGATACCCATTTTGTCCTCATGTTGGGACTCTCCACCGAGTCCTGCACTGTTCCTGCGCTCTTTGGTCTCATCTCCCTGCGGGGGACAGTCTGTGGGTGCTTTCCAGCCTGTCACGGGCCTCTGCCCCATCCCCCCCCCCCCTGCCATGTTCCGGCCCCACCTGTGGTCAGAAGTGTGAAGGAGGTGGGTGACCTGGTGGCAGGAAGCCCCTCCCCATCCACCCACCTTTCCCTGAATCACTCTGCCTTCAGACCCTTTACCTAGCTACCCCCCCACCCCCACAGTGGGCAGAGATGCCCCTGCCCCTTCCCGTCGCCTGGGAAAACCCACCCTAGTGGGCTGGGAGCCACTTCCTTGGCCCAGGTTATGTGCAGCGGGGCTGGCAGGGGCCACAGGAAAGGAGCCAGTGCTCATCTGGTGAGGGTGGGCGGGAGACACCCAGTAGGTGGCCACTTCCTGCCCCCCACTGCCCGCCCCCGCGCTCGGGAGCCACCTAGGAAGACCATCTGTCTTTCCGTCCAGAATATGCTCGCCGCCTGGATATCTTTGCCCAAAACCTGGCCCGGGCTCAGCGGCTGCAGGAGGAGGACCTGGGCACAGCAGAGTTTGGGGTGACTGCATTCAGTGACCTTACAGGTACTGGGACACCCCCTGGCTCCTAGCTGGTGGGTGGGGAAGCAGCTTGCCCAGGGGTACTGGCAGATTTGGCATTCATTTCCCAGAGAGGGATCTGGGGACCAGAGGCCTGGGTGCTTGTCCCGTCTCCGAGGGCAGGGCCGGGTTCCGGAGGCCTGAGAGCAGGTGCCGGGGACGCACTGCAGCAAGGAGCTGGGTCTCTCTGAGCCTCGGCGTCCTCGCCTTTGTGTCTCCCAGGGCATTATGGGGACTCACATGGCCAAGGATGTGGATGGCTGGAGCGGGAGAAGCAGAAGATGGGATGGGGGGGTGTGTGTGTCAATATTGTGATCTTGGTGGTCCCATCTGTCCCTCAGAGGAGGAGTTTGACCAGCTGTATGGGAATCCGAGGGCAGCTGGAAGGGCCCCCAATATGGACAGAAAGGTAGGATCTGATGAGCGGGAGGAGTCAGTGCCCGCCACCTGTGACTGGCGGAAGGCCGGTGTCATCTCACCTGTCAAGAACCAGGTATCTGCCTCACCCCGCCTGGCGCAGTCCAGCCCGTGGAGGGAGGGCCCCCCCACCCCCCCCGGCCCAGATCCCTTACCAGCCCCACTCCTCTCCCCTCTAGAAAGACTGCTTATGCTGCTGGGCCATGGCGGCCGCAGGCAACATCGAAGCCCAGTGGGGCATTAAAACCGGCCGGCCCGTGGAAGTCTCTGTGCAGGGTACGGCCGGAAGGGGGCACGTGTGCCGGGGGGCTTGGGGCCTCGGGCTCTGTCACCCACGCTGCCCCTTCTTCACCAGAACTACTGGACTGTGGCCGCTGTGGGGACGGCTGCAGGGGCGGCTTCGTCTGGGACGCGTTCATAACCGTCCTCAACAACAGTGAGTCCGGCCTCCCGGGGGCTGCGGGGCGGGATGTCCTGGGCCGAGTCTCCTGGTCTCGCTTCCTTCCAGGTGGCCTGGCTAGTGAAAAGGACTACCCGTTCCAGGGGGCGGTCAGGCCCAAGTGCCAGGCTAAGAAGCACCACAAGGTGGCCTGGATCCAGGACTTCATCATGCTGTCGGACAACGAGCAGAGTGCGGGCAGGGAGGAGGCCCAGGCGGGCGAGGGAGGGGGGGAGGGATGACGGATAGACAAACCGGGACAGAGGCGGACAGAGGGGGCTACAGACAGAGATGGAGGAATGGGGGTGGGAGGGAGAGATGGGGACAACCATGAGCTGAGAGCAGGGGAACCCGGGCTGGCATGGCCTGATGGCACCTCCCCCCCCAGGAATTGCCCGGTACCTGGCCACTGAGGGCCCCATCACTGTGACCATCAACAAGAAGCTACTGCAGGTGGGCCAGGGAAGAGAATGGGGGGAAGAATATATAGGGATGTGGCCCCAGGCTCAGCCCCTCTGCCCCTGCCCCTGCAGGGTTACACCAACGGTGTGATCAGGGCCACACCAACCACCTGTGACCCTCACTACGCGGACCATGTTGTCCTGCTGGTGGGTTTTGGTAAGACCAAGTCATCGGAGGGGAGGCAGGCAGAGGACGTCTCATCCCGGTCTCACCGTCACTCCACCCCATTCTGGATCCTCAAGAACTCCTGGGGGCCCGAATGGGGCGAAAAGGTGAGTGTGATACTGGGACAGGACAGCAGGTCTCTCCCGCCTTCTGGCCCTCACGTCCTCTGACTTCCTAGGGTTATTTCCGGCTGCACCGAGGGAGCAATGCCTGTGGCATCACCAAGTTCCCGATTACTGCCCGGGTGGTTCATCCAGCTAAGAAGCCGCATCTGGTCTCCTGCCCTCCCTGAATCCGCCCAATACCGCTCTCGCCTGCTACGCCTGCTGCCGCCTTGCTGGCCACCCCCAAAGTCTCCTCCTGTCCTCCCAACCCTCTTGCTATTGGCTGAATAAACAAAGACAAAATTCTGTGTTCTCAGTGGACTCAGCTGGGTGGGGAAATGGGGAGGGAGAGCACAGACACCATTCCTGGACACATCCTAGTCCCTGCGGGTCCAGGTGCACACGGGTCCTCATACACCGTGACACTTAGATACATACGCGTACACACCCTCCACACGTGGACCCTATGTTTACCCATGCACAGGCTCCTCCAGAGTCATGGCAACTTTATTGTCAGTGTGAGCAGAGTGATGGGAGGGGCCTTAGTCATGATAGAGGCGCAGGAGGCAGCCACGGAGGGTGCCCATGTAGCGGTCCCAGAGGCCCTGGTGCCTGCAATGATAACGGTAACAGCATGGCTGAGGTTTACCACAGTCCACCCCGTCACGCCCTGCGCTAAGTGCTCCGTGTACCTCCGCTCTTTAATCCTCACATCCTTATGACCCTCACCATTTCACCCCAGCTTACGTGAGGAAATGAGGCACGTGTGAGGAAACTGAGGCACGGGGAGGTCAGGGGACCTGCCCAAGGTTAAGTCACAGCTTCTTAGAGGTGAAACCAGGACTCTGGTCCACGCAGACATTCACCCAGGGCAGCAGAACAGGGCACCCCGCGTCTGCAGGAGGCCGGGGTAACTCACCGGAAGCCATCCAGGGAGTGGACCGACGCTGAATACTGGTTCAAGAACAGCCGCACATCATTCAGCGGCCAGTGGTCAGAGCGGCAGGGCTCCACAAACTGCGGGGCCAAGGGGACATCTAGCCCTGGGACAGCTCAGCCAGGCCAGGTCGGGGCCGAGCGAGCAGACAGTGGGCAGGACAGCTCACCTTCTCCACCAGGTCCACAAAGAGATCTCTGACGTCCTTGTTGTGGGTCAGCTTGGCAGCCACATTCACCAGCCCCCGCGAGAGGTTCTGTGGGGCAGGGAGCCTGGGAGTCCTGCCTTCTGCCTCCAGAGGCTGGGGGAGGGGCAGGCCCCTCTCCAAATCCATCCACCTCCCTCAGTCAACTCCCCAATGTTTAGGAGCTGCTCCCCCAGCACAGGTGGGCAGAGGGAACAGCAGCGCCACCTGCCGGTCAACCGAGGGCATGAACAGTCACCCGGTGGGACAGTGCACTGGAGGCTGAAGATGCCCAAGGGACACGGGCTGGAATGGGCCACAGACCTTGAAGTTGGCTTCCATCTCGGAGAAGACACCGATCTTTCCCCGGAGGGTGGTGCACACCAGGCTGCAGGAAGACAAGGTCAAGCCTAGAGCTGCCTGGGCCCCACTGCAGACCCCACCCCATGGACATCCCCCCAGTCACCTCTTATGCAGATCCAGAAGGTCCTTGTCAGCCACCAGCACTTTGAGCTCCTTCAGGTCCTGGAGAAACTCTTTGTCTAAGTCCACATCCATGTCATCCACCTGGGAGTCTGAGTGAGGCCCAGGAAGGGAGTTGGGGGGGGAGGGGCACAACAAAATGCCCTCCCTGGATAACCCAAGCCTTCTCACCCACATCGCACCCCCATGAGACAGAAAACAGAGTGTCCGGGAGGCGGGAAGCTTTGCCCCAGAGCTCAGAGAAGTAGCGGGTCCTTTGTCTGCAGACAAGGTGCGTATGGGGACACTGGCCTGTGAGCAGAGATGGCGGGGGAGGGGCCCCGAAGAAGAGAGGATGCTGGGAACGAGGGGCCTGCGGGAGACAGCGCCGGAGGGGTAGCAGGCCTGAGAGGGTGGGGAGGTGTCCAGGCACCTGGGCCAGTGGGGGCCTCACCGACGGCTCCAAGGGTCCAGTTCTGGATCATGAGCTCGGCACAGAAGGCGAAGTCGCCAAAGCTCAGATACTGCAGCTTCTTCTTCCCCGTCTCAAAGCGGTTGTTGGCAAAAAAGACGATGGCGGCATAGTCTCTGCAGGGAGGGCGAGGCAGGCCGCTCAGAGCTGGGCATTCCTTCTCAGCAAGCAGCTCGCCTGCAACGTCTTCTGGGTGTCTGAGCCCTGGCCTCTCTGGCCCTGCTCCCTGGGTGACATGCTTCCGGTCACCTCTCTCTGGGCCTCCTCATTCCCCGTCTGTGAAAAGGTTTCAACCCAGGTCTCCTAAGGGGATACAGCGGGCACCTCAGGGTGGCACTGCCACTTACTGAGCACTTCCCGAGCCCGGAGCTGTGCACAGCTTCACAGGTGACACCGCCACAGTCCAGTTAACTGGTGAATGACGGGCTGGGATTCGAACCCAGGCCAGTCTGATCCAATTCACAGACAAGGAATGAGATATCCATCCCCCCACACGGCCAGGAGGTCAGGTGGGTTGGGGGTGGGGGAGGCGGACCAGACTCTGGGCCCCGGGAAGGACTGTGCAGAGTGGGGGAGGTGGCGGCTGCTCGCCTGGCTCTCACCTGGCCAGCCGGTCGGAGAGAAGGAAGTGCTGCTGGATGTTATCGACCAGTGAGCCCCGCATCTCCTCCACCACCTTGAAGACCCGCTTAAAGTTGTCGAACTGCAGGGAGGTCAGGGGAGCGAGGACTGGTCAGAGGTCGCTCACCCAATCAATTGGTTATTGAACACGGTCCCTCGCCTATCTATCTATTCAGGCAACAGATGCTGATCTGTTATTCCTTCAATAAGTTTTGCCATCTTTTTTTTAAAATATATTTTTTATTGATTTTTACAGAGAGGAAGGGAGAGAGATATAGAGTTAGAAACATCGATGAGAGAGAAACATCAACCAGCTGCCTCCTACACACCCCCCACCGGGGATATGCCCGCAACCAAGGTACATGCCCTTGACCGGAATCAAACCCGGGACCCCTCAGTCCACAGACCGACGCTCTACCACTGAGCCAAACTGGCTTCGGCAGCTTTTGCCATCTTGACTCAGATAAGCCTTTACTCACTCCTAACACTGACTTCACTCCTACTTTTAAGCACCACGCTCTCCGGTTCTTCCCCAGCTTGTGCTGGAACAGACCCTCCTGGCTGAGGCCCAGAAGGTAAAAAAAAAAAAAAAAAAAAAAAAGAGCAAATGCTAAGCTGTCTAACGTTCCAGAAGAGTTACTTCTCCTCGGCACCCCCAGAGGGCGTGACATCAGACTCTGCCTTGGAGTGCGAGTAGACATGGCCGAGAACTGTACCCTCCAGCAGGAGCAGCACAAGCGAAAGAAAGCTGGCCCCCTGGCCGCGGGGGCCGCCAAGCCCAGAGACGCTGCAGGAACCAGATCACAGGAGCATATGAAGGGCAAGGCCAGAGAGTGCGGTACTACCCAGAAGGGATAGGAGCCAATGCAAGTTTATGGTAGAAAAAAGCTATGGGCAGGCTCTAACAGGTTTGGCTCAGTGGATAGAGCGTCGGCCTGCGAACTGAAAGGTCCCAGGTTCGATTCCGGTCAAGGGCATGTACCTTGGTTGCGGGCACATCCCCAGTAGAAGGTGTGCAGGAGGCAGCAGATGAATATCTTTCTCCCATTGATGTTTCTGACTCTCTATCCCCTCCCTTCCTCTCTGTAAAAAGGTAAATAAATTTATGTGTATACACACACATATATCTATATGAAAGCTACAGTCAGACGTGGGATTCTGGCTGAAGAGCAGGGACTGATTAGAGGTGAGGAAAAGAGAGGAGAGGAGACTGGGTCTGAAGCTGCTGCCACCGTCAGAAGTGGAGGTGGAGGCTGGAGCTGGGACAGCGGCGAAGGGGAGGAGGAGGGGTGGACTGTGGCTGGAATGAGTGTGGGTGAGGAGGAGGCTGCAGTGCCCACCTGTCTCCGGCAGCTTTTAAGGGAAATGCCGGTCTTGGTGCTGATGTCATCCAGGTCCTTCTTGGTGCCCTTGGACAGCTTCTTGCCCAGGACCTCGCGCACGAAGGCCTCGTCGAAGGCATAGTACCTGCGTGGAGGCAGCGGACACTATGGCTTCCCTTAGAGGAGGGTACTGGGGGGGGGGGGGGGAGGCTGGCAGAGCCTGGGCTCGGCCCCTTCCTCTGGGCCCGGGCGAGTCCCGTCCCTTCCTGGGCCTCAGGCTCAGTCTGCAGAATGGGCACACGGCAGCGTGCCTGGCACCCGCACCTCTCAATGAGCAGCGCCTGCCGGGAGGGCGGGATCTGGAAGATGAGCTGGTGCAGCAGCTTGGGCGGGGCGTGCAGCAGGCGCTCCAGCATGTGGAAGGTTCGGTAGTGGTCCATGGTGTCACTCTGCAGCACGGCGGCCGTGGCGCCCGTCTGCTCCAGGATTCCCGAGTGCACCCGCAGGGCCACCGCATCGTTCACTGCGGGGCAGCACGGGCGTCAGGCCCGCCCCGCCCAGCCCCTCGGGGGCTCCGACCCCCGCACCCCGCCGCCCGCTTCCGACCGCCCTTCTCCCACCCAACCCCCGCTCGGCCCGCCGGGCTCCCGGCCGCCGCTCACACACCCGAGTAGCCATCCAGCCAGAGGCGGTACACGTCCTCGTCGATGAGGGTCGTGTTCCCCACGAAGATATCCAGCTCGTTGGTCATGGCGGCGCTCGGACGCGGCAGCAGCCGCAGCGCCCCGGCTGGAGCGAGAACCGCCCGAGCGGGCGCGCCGCCGAGGGGCCACTTCCGGGAGCGCCGCGGGTCCGCTCCCGGCGCCCGGAGCCACTTCCGGGACGGACCACTTCCGGGACAGAGCAGGTGGGGCGGGAGCTGCGGGGGAAGAGGCGGAAGCGGTGGGGCACCCCGGTCCTCGCCGCCGTTACCCCTGCCCCTACCCCGGCCGGGCCAGCCTCCCGACCCTGGAACCCTTCCCCGCCAGCCCTCCGCCCCTCACCCCGCTTCCTCTGCTCCTGTGAAACCCTCACTGGCCTGCGTCCTCCATGTGGGAGTGGAGGGCTCGATCCTCATTTTTTTTCTCCTTCTGTGCGTAAACGTGTGTAGCCGACCTCCAAAGCCTTTGGCTGGGAGACCTTCAGTTCCTCCTGCGGCTAAGCATCGCTCCCGGGAAGGCACACTGCTCCCATGTGTGTGCTTGTTTGTTTAATGGATTGGTTTTAGAGAAGGAAACATCGATGCGTTGTTCCTCTTACTTATGCACTCATTGGTTGGGTCTTGTATGTGCTCTGATCAGAGATCCAAAGGCAGCTGTACCCAATTGAGCTACTCCCCTCCCACCCCCTACCCCCACCCCACCCCCACCCCTGCCTGGCCACTAATGGCCTCTCGTGCTCTGCAGCTCATCAGGAGGGCAGCCTACCTATGAGTCTTTCCAAACTCTCTCCCCACAGCCGCCGCCCCAGCTAGATAGACCTCCAGTCTCCCCAGACAGTGTATCTCCTGTGTTCCTATTTGTGACAGCCCCAACACCCACTATCTCAGAAACCTGGCTTTCTCCCAGACTCCTCTCCACATTCAGTTTGCTCATTTGCCTCCTAAATATTTCTATTATCTTTTTGTTCTCTCCATCCTCACTGGCACTGCCCCAGACCAGTCCTTCTGCAAAGTTCTCCTTGCCCATTGACACAGTGTTCTTACTAATCTCCCTGCCCACATCCCCTCCCCATCCTCCCTCTCACACAGAGCAGCCTGAACAATCGTTTTTAAATAGATGTTTTAAAATGGTACTCCCCTGATTAAAATCCTTACTGCTCTGGGAAAATGTGCCAGCCTAGTAGTGAAAGCCCTTAAGAATCTGGCTTCCACCCTAACCAGTTTGGTTCAGTGGATGGAGTGTCAGCCTGCGGACTGAAGGGTCGCAGGTTCGATTCCCGTCAAGGGCATGTACTTGGTTGCAGGTACATCCCCAGTGGGGGTGGGGGGGTGGGGAGGTGCAGGAGGCAGCTAAATCTACCGTGTTTCCCCGAAAATAAGACATCCTCTGAAAATAAGACCTACCTACAGGTTTCCTTCTGAGTGAAATATAAGGCATCCCCCCGAAAATAAGGCCCCCTAGGCTCTGTCTCAGAATGCCATTGCTAAACATGAGAGATTTGGTCCACTGATTCTGAAAGAAATGGAGTCACAAGAAATTCACCAGAAAATTCAGGAATTGGATTGTTATGATGATGTTCCAGAAGATGATGACATGATTGTCATTGAATAAATGAGTAAATTCTTGATACTGTGGGATTCACAGTTTGTCTGGTTTGTGTTGACAACTACCGTACTACCGTACCGTATACAGGTAATAAATTTCCTTTATTTTCATTTAACAATAAATGTGTACCGTATTCTTCTTCATGGAAAAAATAAGACATCCCCTGAAAATAAGACCTAGCGCATCTTTGGGAGCAAAAATTAATATGACACTTTAATTTCGGGGAAACAGGGTATGTTTCTCTCTCATTGATGTTATTAACTCTCCATCCCTCTCCCTCTCCATTCCTCTCTGTAAAAAAATCAATAAAATATATATTTTTTTAAAAATCTGGCTTCGGACCACGTTTGTTTCCTCCTGCCTCCCTTTCTTACCACTTTCTCCATGCCCGGATGGCTCTCACTGTTCCTAAAGCAGCTAGGCCCTTGCAGGTCCCAGCATCGTTCACCATGTTATTTCCTGTCTCGTTGCTTGACAAAGCCCTGTGCATTTTTCAGGGACCTTCAGATATCATCTCTTTCAGGAAACCTTTTCCCTCAGACTGTACCCCTCCTCCATTTGCTTCTTGTTTAACACAATTTGTCTCCCCTGCCAGATTAAGACTTTTTTAAAGCAGAAACCGGTTTGGCTCAGTGGATAGAGCATCGGTCTGTGGACTGAAAGGTCCCAGGTTCGATCCCGGTCAAGGGCATGTACCTTGGTTGCAGGCACATCCCCAGTAGGGGTGGTGCAAGAGGCAGCTGGTCGTGGCCAGTTTGGCTCAGTGGATAGAGCGACAGCCTACGGACTCAGGGGTCCCGGGGTTCGATTCTGGTCAAGGACATGTACCTTGGTTGCGGGTACATCCCTGGTGGGGGGTGTACAAGAGGCAGCTGATTGATGTTTCTCTCTCATCAATGTTTCTGGCTCTCTGTCGCTCTCCTTTCCTCACACACAAAAAAAAAAATCAATAAAGTATATATATATTAAAAAGAGGCAGCTGGTTGATATTTCTCCTCATGGATGTTTCTAACTCTATCCCTCTCTCTTCCTTTCTGTAAAAAATCAATAAAATACATTTTAAAAAATACTTCTTTAAAGACAGGATAAGACTCTTGATCAAGTTTATTCTGCGTGGGTTTTACACACAATGAAGGCTTACTGAACAAAAGAATCGCTTGTATGTGTACCCCACCCCCTCTCCCCCCGCACCCCACCCCTGGGAAGGATGGAAAGGAGGTCGTCCCGGCTCTGTGGGGGGGAGAGTCCCGGGGCAGTCTTGGTTCTCAGGAGCCCAGAGGCCTAGGCTCGAACCGGAGGCAGTTTGGAACTGGGAGGCACGAAGCGCCTAGTTGCGGGCTGACAGGAGCGGGCGCGGGGACCCAGGGTCCCGGACGGTCAGGGACTCCGCGGTCGGGAGTGGGCGGGCCGCGAAGGGGGCGCTCCGCGCTCAGGCCCCGCCCCCCCCAGGGAGGCGCCTCCGGATTGGCTATCCCTCCTCAACGTCAGGCGGCCCCGCCCCGGCGCGCGCCCAGCCGCGTGCCCGCCCCCGTGCGGCGGCCGCAGCCTACGCCAGCGGCCACAGCCCGTGCCGGCGAAGCCGGTCCCAGCCGCAGCCGCGCCGGGCTCGACGTGGGGCACCGGGGCCGCGGCGGCGGGCGGGCGATGCTCCAGAGACCCGAGCAGCCATGGAGGCTGAGGCGGGCGGCCTGGAGGAGCTGACCGACGAGGAGATGGCGGCTCTGGGCAAGGAGGAGCTGGTGCGGCGCCTGCGGCGGGAGGAGGCGGCGCGCCTGGCGGCTCTGGTGCAGCGCGGCCGCCTCATGCAGGAGGTGAACCGGCAGCTGCAGGGGCACCTGGGCGAGATCCGCGAGCTCAAGCAGCTCAACCGGCGCCTGCAGGCCGAGAACCGCGAGCTGCGCGACCTCTGCTGCTTCCTGGACTCGGAGCGCCAGCGCGGGCGGCGCGCCGCGCGCCAGTGGCAGCTCTTCGGGACGCAGGCATCCCGGGCGGTGCGCGAGGACCTGGGCGGCTGCTGGCAGAAGCTGGCCGAGCTGGAGGGCCGCCAGGAAGAGCTGCTGCGGGAGAACCTGGCGCTGAAGGAGCTCTGCCTGGCGCTGGGCGAGGAGTGGGGCCCCCGCGGCGGCCCTGGCGGCGCGGGGGGCTCGGGCGCTGGCCCGGCACCGGAGCTCGCCTTGCCCCCCTGCGGGCCCCGGGACCTGGGCGATGGCAGCTCCAGCACCGGCAGCGTGGGCAGCCCTGATCAGCTGCCCCTGGCTTGCTCCCCAGATGACTGAGGGCAGAGCTTCCTTCGCGCCGACGCCCCAAGAGCCTGGATTGCGATGCACCTCAGGACCTGGAAGCCGCCCCGGCTGCACGCGACGGGCCGCTGCTGGCATGGACTCAGACATCATCCTGGCCCCGAGGGGCGCCCTTCGCTCTTGCTAGCTGGGCAGCAGGGGGACTGGAGGCTGGAGCGGAGGGACTTGCAGGGGGCTGGGCGGGGGCTAATAAACTGGGACGGAAGCCGAGGCCATGGCAGCGTCTGATTGGGACTCGCCGGGGTTAGGCCAAGGACGGGGACGGGGAGACGGGGGATGGTTCCCATCCGGAGGGGCTGCAGAACTGTGGTGTCTGATAGCCCCTCATTACCTCCGGTCAGGAGCGGTGTGAGACCGTGGGAAGCCGCTGGCTACAACCTCCCACCCCCTACACCTCCGCCGGCAGGCTCCGGGACCGGCCGTGATCCTGCCGCCGAAGTGGCTCTGGTTCCCTTCCCGGCTCCTTCCTGTCCAAGACAATGGGGCAGGAAGCAGGTGTGGGGGGCCTAGAACCCACTCCGCCGCCTCCTCTGGCTGGAAGGGCATAACAGCGCCCCCCTGTGGCACACCCAGGAGCAAGGTGGGCCTCCACCCCGAGGAGGATGGGAATCCTCTTGGCTTGCTGCCCACAGCACTCTTTCCCTCAGTCCTGGAGATGAGGCGGAGCAGATGCAGCTTCGTTTGTCAGATAAGACACAGTGGAGGTCCAGAAATACCAAATAATCTGTCCACGGTCATGCAGGGAGTCTGTGGAGCTGAGACCCGAGCCAAAGGTTCTGAGGATCCAAATGCTTTCCCTTTAGCCTCTGAGTCCAACGAAACCAGGCCAGAGCTTCAAGCCTTTTATTCCGTTTTGGCAGGTTTGTATAAAAATACTCTCTTTAGGAAAATAAATAGCAGCTGCCCTTGCAGTGGAGGCTTTGAGTCCCTGGAGCTAAAGTCTCCTCAGAGCCAGGGCGGCAGCTCAGCTCATCACAGAAGTCTCTAGCACGCTCCTGGACTGTGCCCTTTCTGGAGGGGACGGCAGAACGCCCTGGTCTGATCACCTGGTGCTGCTGGCAGGGGGGCTGGCTGAGTTAGTGTTCTAGGCTGGCGTACCGCCTTCTGTCTGGGGGGTAAGGCTGGGTAGGTCCCGGGAGAGGGTAATGAAGACTTAGGGAAGGCCTGGAGGGGGGTCAGGGCTCCAGAAAACCTCCAGATGTCTATCAAGTCCTTCAGGGCTGCCAGGAGTTCTCTTGCACAAATGGGAAATAGTGTGTCTCTGATTTAATGCAAACTGTGCTAGAGAGGTGAGCTCCAGAGAAACTGAGCAGCCCTGGTGTCCCCAAGCTGGCTCTGCCAGGAAGCAGGATAGGCTCCGTCTCATCTGGGGGGACGGAGAACCGGCTGGGGTTGAGCATGGGGTATAGCCCAGGCCAGCTGGACCGATGGATGGGGAGGTATTGGCCAGGGTGGATACCCAGAGAGCCTCATAGGGCCAAGAGGGTGGGGGAGCCTAGGGGATCAGAGGAGGGGTCCCCGCTGCTGCTGCTGCTCCTGCGATGGGCTGAGGCACAGGGCTCAGGGGTACTGGGATAGGTAAAGACCAGACTGGGTGTGAAAGGAGTCAGAGAGGGTGTGGTCATGAGCGTGGGGGTGTGCAATGCCTCGGGTTCAAGGACAGGCCCTGGGGAAAGGGAGATACAAGGCACGGGGCGGGAGGGGGCTGGTGGGCTGCTGGAGCCGCCTGGGCCACCAGGGTCGCTCTCCTTGGCTCCTTCGGGGATTTTGCAGATGGGGCGGTGGGCTTCGAGCACCAGCTCCAGCCGCTCCTTCTGCTTCTGCAGCTCCTCAATCTCTCGCTGCAGTCCTGACTTCTCGTCCTCCAGCTTGTCGGTCTCCTGTAGGGGAAGGTCAGGGAGAGGAGTCAGGAAGAGGAGGGCCGAGTACCGCGGCTTCGCCTGCCTTCCGTGGTGATGGTGAACAGGCAATTGGAGAGGTAGGGTGAGGCGTCCTCCGCGAGTCTGGACTACAATTCCCAGGAGCCCTTGAGAGAAAAATGTTCCCCGCACTCCAATCAGGTCTCGGGGGCGCATCTTAGGAGACCGTCTGCCTGAGCTGCAGCGCGGCTGTGCAGTGCAGTGCTCAGTGCTTTCTCCCGGTCCTTCTCTCCGAAGGCCTGGCTCTCCAGCGCCCCCTGCGGCCCTGCGGGCTCACAGCCGGCGAGGCCTCCGCAGGTTTGGCGGGCCGTGGCCTGGCGCCCTGCGCACCGCCGATGCTCACCGCCTGCAGGAAATCGGTCAGTTCCTTCCTCCGGTTCCTGCACTTGGCCGCGGCCAGCTTGTTCCGCTCGCGCCTCACCCGACGGCGCTCCTCCTCCTCCGGGCTGATCTGGGGAACAGAGGAAGCAGTGAGGGGGGTCCCTGGCCACCGGCTGCCTGGCAATCGCCTCGTGCGGTGGCCCAGGGGCGGGGTCCTGGTGGAGGGCATGGCGGCGCGGGGCGCCCTTCTCCTGCACTGTAAGGACCACCGTGCCCAGCCCCGTTTGCAATAGTTAACATTTCCCCCTTGCACCTCGCTGTGGCCTCCCACCATTTCCTTCTCAGAATGCCCGGCCACAAATCTTAATCCTCTTCCCGTCCCAGGATTCAACTAAGATGCCCCTGTCCCGCCCTGGCCGGCTTGGCTCTGCGGATAGAGCATCGCCCGCGGTTTGATTTCCGTCAAGGGCATGTACCTGCCTTGATTGACGGGTCCGGGGTTTGATTTCCGTCAAGGGCATGTACCTGCCTTGATTGACGGGTCCGGGGTTTGATTTCCGTCAAGGGCATGTACCTGCCTTGATTGACGGGTCCCGGGTTTGATTTCCGTCAAGGGCATGTACCTGCCTTGATTGACGGGTCCCGGGTTTGATTTCCGTCAAGGGCATGTACCTGCCTTGCAGGCTCCATTCCCGGCCCTGGTGTGGGAATGTGCAGGAGGCAACCAATGGAAGTGTTTCTCACAGAGATGTTTCTCTCCGTCTCTCCACCTCCCTTCCACTCTCTAAAAGCCAGTGGAGAGATATGCTCGGTTGAGGATTCGCACACAAAATAAAAGATGCTCTGCCTCTCATTTTCCGGCCAGAACTGGCCTTTGCTCCTTAGAGCTGGTGGGAACTGGCCACTCTTTTCCCAAGGACCCCTATTCTCTTCAATCTCCTGATAACAAGGCTCCTTTCTCCACAGGCTGTAAGCGCTAGGAGGGGCCAATGAATACTACTAAGCAGTTATTTTTCTTTATAAATATATTTTTTATTGATTTCAGAGTGGAAGGAAGAGGGAGGGAGAGATAGAAACATCAATGATGATTGAGAATCACTGATTGGCTGCCTCCTGCACTCCCCCCACTGAGGATCAAGACCGAAATCTGGGCACGTGCCCTTGACCGGAATCGAACCCAGGACCCTTCAGTCCGAAAGCCGACGCTCTATCCACTGAGCCAAACCAGTTAGGCCTTGCTGAGCAATTATTTATTGGGGATCTACTGTGTGCCAGCCAAGGTCTTTTCTTAGATTCTTTACACAACGTTCCAAGTAAGGAACGGAAGCCCCTGCAGGGAAGATGAGTAGCTTGTTGTGCCCCTAGAGCAGAGATGAAATCCCACTCTAGTCTACGATGAATGAGAGCCAGCTGATGAACAGCATCTCCCCAAAAGGAACCCTTATAATCACAGCCCCAGCTTCAGAGTGCCCAGGGTCAAATCAGCCTCAGGACAGGGCTGAGGGGAGCAAGCCCAAAGCCTGCCTCTGGGGCCCAGACCAGTGTTCTAGGTGCTCTTAAAGGGCCAGCCATCCTGTTTCTGGGAAAGCCTCTCCTAGCCCAGAGCACATCTTTCCCAGCATCCCACGTTCCCTCCCCTTCCTCTACCCAGCCTGGCAGAGCGGTCCGCCTACTGTGCGAGCCTCACCCACTGCAGTCCCTTCTGCTAAAATGCTCCGGGGAAAGGAAAGAGGTGCCATTCCCTTAAAGACCCTCTATCTCTTTATTATTTTTCTATCTCTTTATCTTGTTAAGGACTTTTATTAGTGTGTGAGTAGGAACCATGATTGGGGAAGCAAAAATTCCCAGCTCACTCTTCTTCAAACCTTCTCTGAGATCTGGGTGAGACAGTGTGGCTTGGTGGTTGGGATCTAAGTTTAGAATCGGGCAGACCTGTCTCATTACTCACTACGTGTGTGATCTAGGGCGAGTGACTCTATCTTTCTGTGCCTTCGTTTCCTTGGCTGTCAGACAGGGAAAACCAGAGTGTGTTCCCAGAGGGCTTTAGGGAGTTTTAAATGCAACAGGGACACTGATTCAGAGAGTACCTAAAGGGAACTGTCTCCTGTCCCCTCTCTGGCTCCATGGACGTACACAGCGTAAGCCCACCCTCTGCACACAGGTCAGCAGGTGGACGCCCTTTACTGTCCATGTACCCTTCCACATACACCTCACAAGTTCTCCCTCCACCTCCATTCTTGCCCCTGCCATCCCTCTACCCAGAATGTCCTTTCCTTCAGGACATTCTATGCAAATCCTACCCGGTTTTCTAGACGCATATGCCTCCACCTCCAGGAAGCCTTCCCCGATCCAAAAGTGACCTCTTTGCTCTCTGGGTCTTCCTAGAGGCTCCTCTTAATAGTTACTATGGACTAGGAGTCCTCCTTGGCCAACTGGTGGTGCTCCCTTCTCCCCCCTCCTAAGCCTGTGGTCTCCTTTTGGGCCAGGGCTCTCCTCCGCGCCTCAGCACCCGTGGGAATCGGACCAATGCAGAGCCTCTGCTTACCTGCTCTGGGGGCCGGCGGCGCGCCCCTGGCGGCGGCCCCAGGGCCCGGATGACCCCGGGCCGGGGCTGTGGGTAGCTGTACTGAGGGTAGGCCAGAGGTCTGGGGTAGCTGCTGGGTCCCAGGAAGTGAGGCTGCACCATCCACTGCAGCTCCTGGCTGCCACTCACCGCGTTGATGCTTGGCACCAGGTGGAGCTTCTGAGGGACAAGACAGGGAAGGCCGGGGGTCAGGGCTGTGTGAAAAGAGGGTGCCCAGTGGACAAAGGCCACGCTGCTACCCACACCGCTAAGGAGACTGCTCCTGAGCTGTGTGACTCCTGGCACGTCGCATAACTTCTCTGAACTTCCGTTTCCCCGTCAGAGCTAATACTTACAAAGTGTGAATTCCAGGCACTGTCCCAACCACTCTACAAATACTGACTCATACAATTTGCACAACCGTAGCTTCTTTTTCAGACAGGAAAACAGTTGTCCTCAGACACACAGCCTGGAAGTGGGAGGTGGGATTTGGGCCCCGGCAGCTATTCGCTCCCACTCCTGCGTCCCATTTGCACCAAGAGGATAATCACAGCCCCTCACTCCAGGGCAGCTGTGAGCTCAGGTGAGAGGATGTGTGTGGCCGAGCCCGGTGAAGACTGTGGAGGTCAAGAGCCACTGCTCTCGGTTCAGACTGTCCAGTTATCACTATTATTACAATTATAATTTTTATTTAATTTAAATATATTTTATTGATTTTTTACAGAGAGGAAAGGAGAGGGATAGAGAGCTAGAATCATCAATGAGAGAGAAACATTGACCAGCTGCCTCCTGCACCCCCCTACTGGGGATATGCCCATAACCAATGTACATGTCCTTGACGGGAATCGAACCTGGGACCCTTCAGTCCGCAGAACGATGCTCTATCCACTGAGCCAAACCGGTTTCTGCTACAATTATAATTTTTAGGTAGAGGAAGGGCCTTGGAGCTTAGGGGTGAGGAAGCTGATGGTAATGGTCTGGGAGTTGGGAGGGAGGGGGGAGGGAAAGGTGTGGAACGCTCCCAGGAGGGAGAGCACTCAGGCTGTTCAGTTCTAATCTTAGCTTGGCCGCTTACTGGCTGTGACTCTGGACAAGGTGAGGATTATGTCATTTCATTGATGCTAAGAAGTACCCTTTAGTAGCTTTGAATTCAGTTTAATTGGTGACTTTAAATAAAAGTGGTGGCCCTGACTGGTCTGGCTCAGTGGATAGAGCGTCAGCTTGTGGACTCAAGGGTCCTGGGTTTGATTCAGGTCAAGGGCATGTATCTCCGTTGCAGGCACATCCCCAGTGGGGGGCGTGCAGGAGGCAGCTGATTGATGTTTCTCTCTCATTGATGTTTCTAACTATCACTCACCCTTCCTCTCTGTAAAAAGTCAATAAAATATATTATTTTTTTTTAAAGTGGTGCCCTCGCCAAATCAATAAAATATATTAAAAAAAAAAAAAAAGTGGTGCCCTGGATGGTTTGCTTCATGGTGAGGGCATCAGCCTGCAGATCAAAGGGTCTCCATTCGATTCCGGACAAAGGCCTATACCTGGGTTTTGGGTTCCCCAGCCCAGGTAGGGGCACCCCGTGTGGTAGCTAACCAATCAATGTGTCTCTCTCACATCAATGTTTCTCTCTCCCTCCTCCTCCCTTCTACTCTCTGTAGAAATCAATGGAAAAAATATCCTTGGGTGCAATTTTTTTTTTTTAATTGGGAGGTGGAGGCGGGTTAGAAGCGGTCAATGGGGAGGGGTGAGGGAGAAATATGTAATACTGTCAACAGATTTAAGAAATAAAAAAGATTTAAGCCGAAGCCGGTTTGGCTCAGTGGATAGAGCGTCAGCCTGTGGACTGAAAAGTCCCAGGTTCGATCCTGGTCAAGGGCATGTACCTTGGTTGCGGGCACATCCCCAGTGGGGAGGTGTGCAAGAGGCAGCTGATTAATGATTCTCTCATCGATGTTTCTAGCTCTCTATCCTCTCTCTTCCTCTCTGTAAAAACCCAATAAAATATATTTAAAAAAAAATAAAGAAATCCTCCCCAAGATCTCTGAATCTTTAAAATAAATAAATAAAAAAGATTAAAGAAATAAAAAGTAATTAGCGGCTGGGTTTTTAAACCATTGGGCCTTAGATTCTGTGAAAAGCGGTCAAGGAGGTGAAACTGCCAGCACCCTGCCTCGCTTCCGCCTTCTCTCACAGCCGGCAAGTGGGGGACGCGGTCAGTGTGGGGAGCGGGGAGTGGGGGACGGGGTCAGTGGGGGGAGCGGGGGACGGGGTCAGTGTGGGGGATGGGGTCAGAGTGGGTAGTGGGGGAGACGGGGTCAGTGTGGAGAGCAGGGGACGGGGTCAGTGTGGGATGTGGGGAATGGGGGAGACGGAGTCAATATGGGGAATGGGGGAGACGGGGTCAGTGTGGGGAATGGGGGAGACAGGGTCAGTGTGGGGAATGGGGGAGACGGGGTCAGTGTGGGGAATGGGGGAGACGGGTCAGTGTGGGGATGTGGGGAATGGGGGAGACGGGTCAGTGTGGGGATGTGGGGAATGGGGGAGACGGGTCAGTGTGGGGAATGGGGGAGACGGGTCAGTGTGGGGATGGGGGAGACGGGTCAGTGTGGGGATGGGGGAGACGGGTCAGTGTGGGGATGGGGGAGACGGGGTCAGTGTGGGGATGGGGGAGACGGGTCAGTGTGGGGATGTGGGGATGTGGGGGAGACGGGGTCAGTGTGGGGATGGGGGGAATGGGGGAGACGGGGTCAGTGTGGGGATGGGGGAGACAGGGTCAGTGTGGGGATGGGGGAGACGGGTCAGTGTGGGGAATGGGGGAGACAGGGTCAGTGTGGGGAATGGGGGAGACGGGGTCAGTGTGGGGATGGGGGAGACAGGGTCAGTGTGGGGATGGGGGAGACGGGTCAGTGTGGGGAATGGGGGAGACAGGGTCAGTGTGGGGATGGGGGAGACGGGGTCAGTGTGGGGAATGGGGGAGACGGGGTCAGTGTGGGGATGGGGGAGACGGGTCAGTGTGGGGAATGGGGGAGACAGGGTCAGTGTGGGGATGGGGGAGACGGGGTCAGTGTGGGGAATGGGGGAGACGGGTCAGTGTGGGGATGGGGGAGACGGGTCAGTGTGGGGATGTGGGGAATGGGGGAGACGGGGTCAGTGTGGGGATGTGGGGATGGGGGAGACAGGGTCAGTGTGGGGATGGGGGAGACGGGGTCAGTGTGGGGATGGGGGAGACGGGTCAGTGTGGGGATGTGGGGAATGGGGGAGACGGGTCAGTGTGGGGAATGGGGGAGACGGGTCAGTGTGGGGATGTGGGGAATGGGGGAGACGGGGTCAGTGTGGGATGTGGGGAATGGGGGAGACGGGGTCAGTGTGGGATGTGGGGAATGGGGGAGACGGGGTCAGTGTGGGGAATGGGGGAGACGGGGTCAGTGTGGGGATGGGGGAGACAGGGTCAGTGTGGGGATGGGGGAGACGGGTCAGTGTGGGGATGGGGGAGACGGGTCAGTGTGGGGATGGGGGAGACGGGGTCAGTGCTGGGAAAGCCGGTCCACGCTCTGGGCTGGGCTCTGGGTGCGGGCGCCGGGCGGGAAGACAGGCTCCAGCCCAGGCAGTCCCGCAGCGGCGCGGGCCGGCTGGGGCCGCGGCCAGGGACCCGGGTTCGGGACGGTGGGCGGCATCCCCCGCTCCCCTCCGGGGGGTGCGGGCCCCGGACGCTCCGGGCCAGGAAGGGAGGGGCCCGGTGAGTCAGCCGCGGTGACTCGGCGCCGTGACTCGGCGGAACGGACGCCGCTCCTTCCCGCCCCGGACACGTGCTCGCGGCCCCCCGACAGGAAGCGGCACCTGCCGCCCGGAGGCCCCGGAGCCGCGGGCGCCGTGCGGGCCGCCGTGGGGCGCGGGAGCGGCGGCGCGGACCCCGTGCTCGTCCCGGCACCGCCGGTCTCACCGGCCCGACCTCAGAGGAGGGTCCCCGGCCAGCCTGCCCCCCCGCCCCGCTCCACGGCGCCCGGAGGGGAAGGGGCTTGGAGGCGGTGAGCGCGGACAGACGGACAGAGAGGCGGACACGTAGATTGACAGACGGACGGACAGACAGGCGGACGGACAGACATGCAGGCGGACAGACAGGCGGACAGACACGCAGACACGCAGGCGGACAGATGGACAGACACGCAGACGGACAGACACACAGGCGGACAGACACGCAGACGGCGCCGGGACCCCGGTCCGCAGGGAGGTGCGGATGGGCCCGTCCTCCCTCCGCGGTAGAGGCGCCCCGGGCTGCGGCCCCAGGAGCACCGGACCGTCCGGCCGGGACTAACGCAGTGCCCGGCCCCTGCGGACCCCGACGGGCCAGCGCCACGAGCGGCGGACGGAGGAGGTGACAGGTGAGGACAGAGGGCAGCGGGAGGGACAGACGGACACAGGCAGCGAGGGAAAGGGGGTGCGAGAGGGAGAGGGAGGAGAGAGGGAGAGGGCGAGAGAGGGAGAAAGGGAGGGAGAGGGAGAGAAGGAGAGGAGAGGGAGAAGGAGAGGGAGGGAGAGGGAAGGAGAGGGAGAGAGAGAAGGAGAGGGAGGGAGAGGGAAGGAGAGGGAGAGAGAGAAGGAGAGGGAAGGAGAGGGAGAGAGAGAGAGGGAGGGAGAGGGAGGGAGAAGGAGAGGGAGAGGGAAGGAGAGGGAGGGAGAGGGAAGGAGAGGGAGAGAGAGAAGGAGAGGGAGGGAGAGGGAAGGAGAGGGAGAGAGAGAAGGAGAGGGAAGGAGAGGGAGACAGAGAAGGAGAGGGAGGGAGAGGGAAGGAGAGGGAGAGAGAGAAGGAGAAGGAAGGAGAGGGAGAGAGAGAGAGGGAGGGAAAGGGAGGGAGAAGGAGAGGGAGAGGGAGGGAGACGGAGGGAGAGGACGCTATCGGGATGGAGCTGTGCCTCCCGCGCGTCTCCCGGGTTTGGGGGAACCGCCCCGGAGGGGGGAGCGGGCAGGACCCGCCGATGCGGCCGCGCTCCAGCCCCGCTCCCTCCCTCCCGGCCCCGGCCCCGCGGCTCCGCTCACCTGCTGGCCGGGCGCGGGGGGCTGCGCGGGGCCCCCGTACACGCCGCCGGGCCCGGAGCTCGGCCCGGGCTCCCCGAAGTCCCGGAACATGCCGGGCTGCGCGCCGCGGGGTCGGCGTCCGCGCGGGTCTGAGTCACCCCGCCTCGCGGATCGCTCCTTTTTATGAATGAAAGTTCGGGGCCGAGCCAGCCGCCGGGGGTGGGGCGCTGCGCCGGGCCTCGGGCTCCGCCTCCCGGCCGCCACCTCGGCCCGTCCGCCCGGCTGTCCGTCCGCCCGGCCGTCCGCCCGGCCGCCGCCCCGCCCGCGCCGCCTTTTGTGGGTTCGGGGGGCGGACGGCACCCGGCGGCCCGGCCCGGCCCGGCCCGCCCTCTGACGCAGCAGCCCGTACATGGAGCACCTCCACCGGCGCGCGGGATTCCCTCCGCGGCGGGCGCCCGCCCCGCCCGCCCCGCCCGCCGCCCCGGGCCCTCCGCCCCGCGCCTGGCCGCTCCGGTTTAAAATTTGTAAAACGGGACGAAATGCGCTCCGAGCCGCGCTGCTGCGCGTGGGAGCTGGAAGGAAGCCCGTGAGGTGTGGAAACTGATGACTGTTACCTGGAGCCTGTTTCACCCCGGGAGCCCTGCTGCCTCCGACCCAGGGCTCCCGCCCGGCACGGAGCCCTCCCGCTCGCTGTTTTAAGGATCAAGTTTAATGAAGAGTGACTGACTAACTAGTTACAAAAACGGTGGTTATTTTAAATGCTTACCTGGAACGAGTGAATGCTTTGAACTGCCCACTAATCCGATGCGAAACAATGATGCTGCTCACAGGGAAATCAATCCCAGGAGCGATCGCAGGCTTAATTCAGAGCCCCTGTGAGCAGGGAGACCCTGCAGTGGGGCCCTGGGGTCTCCAGCCTGAAAAACACCATCTTCTTTACACACTGTCCGTGCTCTTCCGAGGGCTGTGTGGCCGCAGCCTCGCTCGGAGGTTGTGTCCAAGCCCTCTGTGCCCGCCCGCCCGGCGCTGTGGCTCCGTTGACGGGAATTTTGTCCCCGTATTCCCAGTCAGGGCACATACCCAGGTTTTGGGTTTGATCCCCAGTTGGGGGCAGAATGCAAAAAGCAACCAGTTGATGTTTCTCTTTCTCTTTCCCTTCTTCTCTTCTAAAAACATTTAAGAGAGAGAGAGAGAGAGAGAGAGAGCGCTCAGCTGTGTGGCTCAGTGATTGAGCATTAACCAGGAGGTCACAGGGCACATGCGGGGTGTTTGTGGGTTCAGTCCCCAGTGGATCCCCAGTGTGGGGGCATGCAAGAGGCAGCCAATCGCTGAAACCGGTGTGGCTCAGTGGATAGAGTGTTGGCCTGTGGACTGAAAGGTCCCAGGTTCAATTCCAGCCAAGGGCATGTACATTGGTTGCAGGCACATCCCCAGTAGGGGTTGTGCAGGAGGCAGCTGATTGATGATTCTCTCTCATCGATGTTTCTAACTCTCTATCCCTCTCTGTAAAATAATCAATAAAATATATATTTTTTTTAAAAAAAGAGGCAGCCAATCAATGATTCTCTCTCATCATTGATGTTTCTCTCCCTCTCCCTCTTTCTGAAATCAATAACAAAGAGAGATAAAATTAAAAAAGAGAGAGAGAAGTATATGTCTATCATTAAAAAAACAAAATACACATAAGAAAAGGTCTGGGTCGCTATGAGGCCAGGGTTAAATGTCAACAATCAAAGGCCAACAGCCCTGGGAGGTAGGCACCATCATCACCCCATTTTACAGACAGGGAAACTGAGGCTGAGAGTTGTTAAAATGAAACCCCTCATATCGCTGAGCAGGCGGCTGAAGCAGGCTGACATATCAGAGCTGTGGCCGCTCCAAGCCCAGCTCAGGCAAGACTTTTAAAGCTCTCAGAGACACTTTTTCACGCATGCAGAGTGTCAGGGCTGCGAGGACCACCCCAAGCTTCTCTGCTTCCTCCCATTCCACTCAGAAAACACATCCAGAGGAGAGTAAGGCGCTGCCAATGCCACTCAGCTACAGAGAGAGCTGGGCTCTCCCACTTTCCGGCCGACCTGCTCCATGCGATCAGCTCCAGCTTTGTCCTCAGGGAGGGGGGGGTTTCAGGGGCGGGGGACCTAGATGGTCTTCCTTGAGGACAGAGGGCAGGGCAGGGTCTGTGGGTACACGCAGGATTTACAACCCGGGGCTTCCTGTCCTGGAGCTGCCACTTTTTGTCTCTGTGGCCCTCAGTGTTGACCTTCCTTTGGAGCCCCAGTCCCTCTTGGAATAACTGAGCCTCCTGCTGACCTCATGGGGCTGCTGTGGGATCGAGTGAGATCACAAATGGAAAGTGCTCCGTAAGCTGTGAATTGCTGCGTGCTCAGGGGTGGTTACCAGCCTGGCGCTCCCCTGCCTTGTGCTACTCAGTGCTTATGTTTCTGTAAAAAAAGATGCTAACAGCAGTTTACCATGAATGACATAGGGGTGTGTGTGAGTGTGTGTGTGTGTGTGTGTGTGTGTGTGTGAGAGAGAGAGAGAGAGAGAGAGAGAGAGAGAGAGAGAGAGAGAGAGATTTTTGAGGCAGTGTGACCCATGGAAAAGAGCATGCAGACTGGAGTGAGACAACTCTGGGCTCTGAGTTTGAATTCTTCTACTCACCAGCTCTGACCTTGATGAGGCACAGTCTCGAAACACCTCTGTCCCTCATCTGTAAAATGGAGACATGATCATAATTACATCTCAGGCTGGCTGGAAAACAGAAATAACATAATGCCATGTGCTTAGCACAGCATATAGTAAAAAGTTGACAAATAGCAAAAATAAATACCCATGTTGATAAAAAGCCCAGTGTTGGGAGCCCTTGGTGCTCCGATCTCACGCCAAAGCACTCACACAGCATACACACGCATGCACACAGCATACACACGCATGCACACACTAACACATAGCTGGACTCCTTGGCTGAGTCCAAGCTGGGCAGGTCAGGGTGACACAGGGAGCCAGGTAGTGGCACACACCAGGCCTGAATCAGGTCAGCCTTGCCTCCATGCATCTGCCTGCTCACCCCCAAGCACCTGGGCCAGCGACTGAGCAGGGCGCAAGTCTTGTGTGTGTGTGTGTGTGTGTGTGTGTGTGTGTGTGTGTGTGTGATTACATGGCTCTGAAAGTCCCTTCCTGCTCTAACCGTCGGTGGAGCCACAAGGAGGTCCTTTCAGAGGCAGCACATTCCAAGCTCCTCAGTCACTAACTCCCGCCTGGTGGCTGCAGCCACGTTCCTGGCCCCTGACCTCACCGGCTCCCGCCCAGGGAGGCCAGGGGAGAGTCCCAGGGGCCATGGGCAGGCTCTGTGGGGAGCCTGGGTACCAGGAGGTCTCGGAGACCTGCTCCTGTCTCCGGGCAACCCCGGGAGCTGGGCTCAGCCACGTTCCCCAGAATCCCCGTGTCTCAGAGCCGCAGGGAGGAGGAGGGAGGCACCGAGAAGGAGCTCTGCATCCAGCAGGTTGTCACTGCTCCCAGGGCTTTGGCGTGATGTTAGCTTTTCAGTTTCCCTTCACTTTTAAAATGGAAGTTTATTTATTTTTAAACTTGAGGTGAAAGCCACATAGCATACAATTAACCGTTTTTAAAGTGTACGCGTCCGCGGGTGTTTGTGCATTTGTAATGCTGTGCAACCACACTTCCATTCAGTCTCAAAACTTTTTTCAGCCTTGCCTAAGCAAGGCCTTCAAAAATTAGGTTGCCTCCCCCCCAAACCTTGGAGAGAGTACCCAAACTTTTATTTATCATCCCAGAAAAACACTCCATCCCCATTAAATATTCACTCCCAATTCCCCTTCTCCCCCCATGTCCTGTGTAACTGCTAATCTTCTCTGTCTCTACGGCTTTGCCAATTCTGGACATTTCATACAAGCAGAATCCTACAAGATGTGACCTTTTGCATCTGTTTGGGGTTTATTTTCATTTAGTATGGGGTTTTCCAGATCCATCCACATTGTAGCCGGTATCAGCAGCCTTTTTATGGCTCAGTGGTATTCCATTGTGTGGATAACCAGTTTATTTATTCGTAAGGTGATGGACGTTGGGATGTTTCTGCTTTTTGGCTTTGATGCATGATGCTCTGTGAGGACTTAGGTTTCCATTTACCGTCGGTCATATGGAAGCTCTGGTTAACCTTGTGAGGAAGTGGCAGGCTGTTTTATGAAGTGATTGCGCCATGTATACATTCCTACCAGCGTGCATGAGGGTTCTAATGTCTCCACATTCTTGCTAACACTCATTATTTCCTGTTTTAAAAATGAAAGACTCCCTAAAGGTGTGAAGTGATACCCTGTTTCCCCGAAAATAAGACAGTGTCTTATATTAATTTTTGCTCCCAAAGATGCGCTAGGTCTTATTTTCAGGGATGTCTTATTTTTCCATGAAGAAGAATATGGTACACATTTATTGTTAAATGAAAATAAAGGAAATTTATTACCTGTATACGGTACGGTAGTACGGTAGTTGTCAACACAAACCAGACAAACTGTGAATCCTACAGTATCAAGAATTTACTCATTTATTCAATGACAATCATGTCATCATCTTCTGGAACATCATCATAACAATCCAATTCCTGAATTTCCTGGTGAATTTCTTGTGACTCCATTTCTTTCAGAATCAGTGGACCAAATCTCCCATGTTTAGCAATAGCATTCTGAGACAGAGCTTGGGGGGGGGGTTCTTATTTTCAGGGGGATGCCTTATATTTCAATCAGAAGGAAACCTGTAGGTAGGTCTTATTTTCGGAGGATGTCTTATTTTCGGGGAAACATGGTATCTTCTTGTGTTTAATTTGCTTTTCCTTAAACCAAGCATCATCAATGAATGATCAATGAACATCTTTTCACGTGCTTGCTGGGTATGATAAATGTTTATTTGAGTCCTTTGCCCATTTTTGTTGTTTTTGTTGTTAATCCTGAGGATATTTTTTCCCATTGCGGAAGGGAGGGAGGAGGAGGGTGAGAGAGAGAGAGAGAGAGAGAGAGAGAGAGAGAGAGAGAGACATGGATGTGAGAGAGACACATTGACTGGTTGCCTCTCATGCTCCCCAACCTTAATTCAGCTTAATG